GGTCTCTATTTCGGCACGACGGCTTTCAGAGTTGTTTGTGCGCGCATTGAGATTTCCTTTATCTCCCTCTTTCTACTCATCTAGTTCGACATTATTTGAAACGGGATGTAGATGGAGCTGTGGAAGATGTCGGCTCCGGCCATTGTGGCTATACGGGAGAGACAGCGCATACGCTATAAGATTACCTACATGATCCATTGGTCAATGTCACACTGCACCGAGAGCTGCAGAACTGCAAACAGCGGTGATCACGCGACGGGGGCGGGACAGATATGTTTCAACATTTCTGAATTACGCATCCTTCGCTGATTCAACCCAAATCCAGCAAATATAGACCATCCACAGCAAGATAGGTATCATGCAAGATTCTCTCCCTCCGTATTCCACCCAGCCTGAGCAAGCCTTCCAGGGCACTGCGCACTAGTCCAGCCTGGCGGATCCGTACCCACCATAGCTCGCCAGCCATGGCGCCTCAAAGCGTTTGCAATGGGAATCACTCAATCAGGTGAACAACAGTCAATTATTTCGCTCACACCTTTCTTTTCGCAAAAACTTTATTCTATTGTTAGCTTTGCTTTGACAACATCCGCATTGATATGAAAGAAGAAAGAAATTGCACAGCGCTCCCACCTGCCCGCACTTGAGCATCCTTGCCCTCTTTGATACTCTCGTTGTTAGAGGCTGATAGACGCAGGACTAACAAGGGGGTCCAAAGACAGATGCAAATGAAAGACCAACTCTTGTTTTTGCATTCTTTTTTGAAAAGCTATAAGCTCAAAGTATTCAATTTATAATTTACTCTGTCAAAGAAAATCGCACAGCACTCGTCTTTGAAGTATGCTGTTACTTGGTTAATCGTTCACTGGTCGCTTCGTAATTTTCTACACCTTGTGTATAACAATAGCAATACATCCCACTGCTCCAATTTCTTGGGCAAAATATAAAAATAGATTATCAGGTATGGAAAAAGCTTCGGGAAAATTAGCTAGGCACTAGTAGCCAATTTCTCCGCAACCAAGCATAGAAGTAATGCGTACCTAGATACTTCCGGAAAGGAAATGTCTGTTGGGTCGACCTAGATGTGGATTTTGATGTAGATGTGATGGGTCGCTGAATTTGTATATTTGTACACTGGTGATTACTAAGATATCCGGATATCAGAAAGTAAGAGGTATTCATTGCATGAACCCATATTTGGCCTTTTGTGAATGTGCTTCTGCTTGGACATGTTTCGTATCTCTTTGCTCACTGCTTGTAGTCCCCATACTGCAAGCCAATCATACGTCTCACGCAGTTTCATCATGCCATGCAGTAAATCAATTCAATTATTTTTATTCTCCTTTTTTTCCGGTATCAAGATATAGGGCGGGCGGCAACTTCAAGGTCAAGATGGACAGATGCGCTTCAATGAGCAAAAAAGGAGATTTAATACAAGCGGCCTTTTTCACGCAATACCATGACTTTAACCTCCCCACTTCTAGATGACTCTGACTGTTGTACAAGCTTTTTACGCCTTAATAACCCCCTTTCTATACCCGCAGACCCAGCTCCTCGGCATAAGGCAGCACAAACAAGTCGCCAACGGAAGAGACTGTGGCCTTTCCATCGAGAAGGGTCTTGGCAGTCTAGAGAGTGACACATTCATATTAGTATATTCCAACATGAGGAGACCTCAGGAATCATAAGAGCGACTTACAGTCTTCAGCTTATCGGCGGTAACAGCATCGAGAGACTTGGTCAGGGCAACAAGGTCCTGAACCTTGCCGTTGTTGACGAGGCCAGAGCCGGCCTGCAGAACGCTGGAGCCACGGGTCTGAGCCTTCTCCAGCAGGTTGAACTTGGCATTGGCAATGGCCTTGGCCACGTCCTCCTTGCTCACAGTGCCAGCAGCAATGTTCTTCAGGGCCTTGACAGTCTCCTCAGCGGCCTTGCGAACAGAGGCAGCGGCACCAGTCAGCTGGACAGTCAGGAGGCCAGCATCAGAGTAAGCCTGGTTAGTGGAAGCGATGGAGACGCCAGGGGTTCCAGCAGTAGCCTTGGAGAGAAGGCTGAAGCCAGGAGCCCACTTGATGGTGGGCTGGGCGCCGAGCAGGGTAGCCAGAACCTCAATCTCGGGCTTGGAGCCAGTGCTGTCTGAGCCGGGGAAAGCAATCACGATCGAGTTGCCCGAGGCGTGGCTGGTTCGCTGCTCACCACCAAAGTACTTGGTAGCCTCAGTCTTGAGAGTTTGTCCGCTGCGAGCGGCAGCAGGAACGCCCTTGAAGAACTGGTCGACCCACTTGGACAGGGACTGCGCGCCAGCGCCATCGGCGACAACGGCAATGTTGGGCTTAGAGTAGACGACATCGGCGAAGCTGGAAACGTACTCCTCGTTGACGTACTTGTTGAAGGGGGCGGAAGGAGAGGGATTCAAGGCGGCACCGAGACCAGAGTGGAAGGCAACGGCGTGAGCGTTGTCCAGAGCAATGCCGGCAACATCGGCGTTGACGGCAGCCTTCTTGTAGGGCAGGATTCGTTCAATCTCCTCGTGGAATTCGTGGGCTGGGAGCAATTAGATTTTTTTTTTAGTCTCTTTCAAGTTTTCGCGATTCGGCCATCTCTTACTGGTGTACTTGGTCTGGGACACAACCTCAGCCAGGAGCTCAGCGAAGTAGGGTAAATCGTCGCGCAAGAAGCTGGCCTCGATGACGAGGGCCTCACGGGTGTGAGAGGCAGTCAATTGGCCTCCGAGAAGCTCGGCCTCGCGGGCAATGCGAAGGGCAGATCGTCGCTGGGTGGTCTGGAAGCCATACAAATTAGCTCAAGCTGCGCCAACAGACGGAACCGCCCGTACCTTGAAAGCATACTGCTCCAGACCAAAGGTCAGACCGGGGAGAGGCTGGTAACGAGTTCCGGCCTTGGCAACAACGGCCAGCGTCGTGGTCGGTCCCTGAGTGTCTTTGGAAGCAACCTTGAGTCCGTTGATATCGGCAGTCTCGTACGATCCGGTGGGGGCTGCAGCGGCGGCAGCAAAGCCTCGGCGAGGCACAACGCCTGACCGGCGGGCGGCCTGCTGCGCACTTCTCGAGAGAGCCGATCTCGAAATCATTGTCGAGGGTGTTGGCGTAGTCAATTGGCAGTCCTTGAGGCGTCGTGATGGAGCAGTGGTTCGCCGAAAAAGAAGTGCCTCGTCGTGCAGCTATCCGTCTAATTTTCGGCAGCCGGGAGTTTTGGCTCGATCACGTGATGCGCCGCGGATATCCTCGCCGCATCCTCTCCGAAAGCTACCTCTTGACATCGGTTTGTAATCAGTGTTTGACAACTTTTCTTTTTCTCTTTGTTTTCATCTGGAAAAGAGAAAACGAAATCATGGCATCAATAAACATGCACAGAATAACGTCGCGATTTGCCGCGACCGCAGTTTCAAGGCCCTTACAGGGATGCCAAGTCAGAGCAGCGCCTAGATGGTCCTCTCTGCGGCATCTCAGCACCAGCGTACGCCTGCCGGCCATTGCCACCGGATCACGGCCTCAAGCAAGAAAATCACAGCGCTTCGTGCCAGGCGTCTCCGGTCCTGGTAACAGCGTTCGAACAATCTTTATCCAGACTGAAAACACACCCAACCCGGATGCTCTCAAGTTTTTGCCAAACCACCGCATCGTCCCCGAGAGTATGAGCACTCCGTTTATAGAGTACCTGAACCCACGATCTACGATTTCTCCGCCGCACCCTTCGCCCTTGGCCGCTAAACTTATGAATATCGACGGCATTACTTCTGTCTTTTACGGAGCCGACTTCATCACCGTAACCAAGGCCGGAGATGCCAATTGGGCTCATGTTCGACCCGAAATCTTTGCCCTGATAACCGAGGCTGTCACTTCTGGCGAGACAATCGTCAACGTCGTGGAACGCAAGGGTGATGAGCATGGCGAGGCAGCTGTGGAAGAAGACAGCCTGGCTTATAACGAAAACGACAGTGAAGTAGTAGGCATGATTAAAGAGCTGCTGGAAACCAGAATCCGACCGGCTATTCAAGAGGATGGTGGCGATATCGAATTCCGCGGCTTCGAGGATGGTCAAGTGATGCTGAAGTTGCGCGGAGCTTGCCGTACATGCGATTCAAGTACGGTAACACTCAAGAATGGTATCGAGGGCATGCTGATGCACTACGTGAGTCTCGTCAACCGCAACTCTTTGTATGCCACCACTAACTGTTTGTCGCATAGATTGAGGAAGTACAGGGGGTGACGCAAATCCTCGACGAGGAGGAGGAGGTTTCTCTACAGGAGTTTGCCAAGTTTGAAGAGAAGTTGAAGCAGCAGCAGGGGAAGGCAGCCGAGGCGGCATAAAGACTGATTATGGCTCTGGATGGTCTGTACGTTAGGAAAGCATAGCATGTATAGGTAAGAATAAAGGTTAAAAAAAGTTGGATACCCGTCACAAATAAAACTCAATTATCTATAGTAAGAATTGCAGCCCGTAGTTTGTGACGCATTACATTATGTCCAACACATGCTTAATAGATCATAAATACCCAATGGTGAGCCAGGCTACGGGAGCAAAAATCGGTATGACGCAGATCGCCAGCGACTGGAGTTTTCGAGTACCTGCAGGCATTTGGCTCCAAAACGTCAAAAGCCTAGGTGGTTCTTTAGGCTAAGGTGCCCCACCTTCCCTTTTAGCTCGCCCATGCTCCAGCAAAAAAATTGGCGAATTCGAATCTCGCCGTTTGTAAACTCAACTTCTCTTCTCTTTGCCGTCACTTTTTGCGCCTTCCACCACAGCTGCATCTTCTTCCACCGTCCTTCCTGTCGCTATCCGTGGACAGGGAAACCGGCTCTGTTGCGGCACAAGTCAATGACTCCGAGGTAGCACCTGTGGCAGCTCTAGAGATAGTGAGAGGATCTCTAGGAGCAAGCAATGTTCGTCGTTAGTCACACTCGCCCTCTGCGCTGGAACGAGCAAACGGAGAGAAGGGGGGAGAAAAAAAAAAGAGAAGCTAATTTTGGCGACATTTCCAGACTAAACATGCGGCGGAGCTTTGCGCTCTCCTAGTCAATGATCTCTACGGCGAACTTCCTTCGGTATGTCAAATTAATATCCTTTGAAGCGTCTTTGCATGGAGCGCGTTCCTCGAGGAAATGGTAGCTGGAGGCCAGCGAATGTTAGCGACTGACCCTTTCTTGGCGCTGTTGTAGCGAATTCTTGCCGCGCTCTTCGCCAAAGGCCGATCAAACATTACACAGCTCGGGCTATATACGCAGCTGGGCCCTCGACAAATTCGCAATGGTCTAGGCGTCCTCAACCAGCAGAATCTGCTATATCACCACACAGATACCACTACCAAACGCACCACCTACGAAGCCAATCCCGGAGCATGCTACAACCTCGTTCGATCTGGCAAGATCTTGGAGATGATCGACAGCCAATACGGCACTGCAGAGCGCGACCTAGTCCAGACCCTGCTGCTGCTGGGCTATGCGAGAATCGCCGAGCTGACTCACGCATACCAGTCCCGCGCACCGGCGTCCAACGGCCATGCGAATGGCCATGGTGCGAATGGACCCAGCTCCGGCTTGATTGGGTCCGAAGCTGAGCTTCACAATGTCCTGAGTCACTTGATTCGCTGCGAAATTATCGAGACGGTCAGGCCACAGTCCTTTCGCAACCCCAACGATGTTTACCACGAGATTGAGGCGGACGTCACCAAGACAGCTCCGGGCGAGAAGGCAACAAAAACCAAGATCGACCAGCAAAGGCAGATAATGGAGCAATATCGATCATTCAGAGACCAGCCGACAGCTTTGAAGAGGCAGCTTGACCAATTTGGGGGCCCGGTCACAAAGAGAAGAAAGCTCGAGGGTGGATCAGGGGAAGATGACAGAGCGATGGATTATGATATTCCACCTCTTAATGTGAGCATGCTTTCTCTCGTTCTCGCATTTCAGTACACGCAGGCTAACGAAAAAAAATTAAGCCAAATGTGGTTGTCAGAGTCAACTACGAAAAATGTCTGGTTGAATTACGCAGCCACCGCCTGGCTAGTTTCGCCAAGGATATTCTGGGAGAGGTTACTGGCGAAGTGTATCGCACACTGCTTGGACTTCTCACTTCCGAAGTATCTAGATGCCGGGCGGATCCTTTCCTCGGAGAAGAGGCGATTACTCACCAAGCTGCTGCAACTACAATGGACGTGTATGAGCACCTAGATGAGGCAGTCAACGTTGCGGCGGGAATTGGAAAAGCCCCGAAAGACAAGATTGACTACCAAAGCGCAGAAAAGATTCTGACAGCGCCCGCGGGAAGCGATACGTTCGCTGGCGACTCGGATGATGACGCAGCAGGCGGCGCTTTTGACAGCGACGATGATTCCGATGACATGAGCCGCAATGGAGCTTTTTCGCGAAAATCTCGATCAGTATCCAAGACGAATGGTGGTAAACCAAAGGTGACGTTTGAAGACGCAGCAACATCTACGGACAACCGCCTAGACCAGATGCGCCAGCATCTCTTGCTATTGTCGGAAAGCAAACATCGCTTCGTGCGCCACTGTGGAACACAGGGTCGGGGGCAATGGACGGTTGATTTCGATCAGGTTATGGGGCGTCTTCGAGACACTGAGCTGGATGCCTCCATCGAACAATCCTTTGGGCGGCATGGACTCCGTCTTACTCGTATCCTCCGTGAAAAGGGTAAACTGGACGAAAAGATGTTGCCATCTGCATCTCTGATGAAGAAAACGGACGTGCAAGCGAAGATGCTTGCCATGCAGATGGCTGGTTTGGTCGACGTACAGGAAGTTCCCAAGGACAACACACGAGTAGCCAACCGGACCCTGTTCTTCTGGTTCTTTGACAGAGATCGAAGCCAGGCACAGATACTGGACGACCTATATAAAGCCATGGTCCGCTGCTTGCAGACGCTGCAGGTAGAGAGACACAGGGAGCGCAACATTTTATCTTTCGTTGAGAGAAAGGACGTTATGGGAAAGGAAGAAGAGGTGATGACGGCAGAGCATTATAACAAGTATAACAAGCATTTGGAAGAGCAGAACAAGCTTCTTGGACAGATGATGAGGTTGGATGAGGTTGTGTCGATATTCCGAGACTATTAGAAGCACTTTGGCGGTATAAAACAAAATGTAATTGTACCTAGGTATCTATGGCACACTAAATTGTCATAAGAAGAGGACTAAGTTGTCTCTGGTGTTTGTCTGATATTGAGATTGGCTACAGGATGAGATGTTTAACGTTTTTCTTCTTCTCTCTGGGGAGGAGTTTCGGCCTTGATATCATCGCAAAATGTTGTATTTGCATCAGATGCTGGGAAGTTGCTGGCGAACTCGCCATATAAAGCCGCGGCATAAACTCGAGATGTTACACCTTGAGAGACCTCGGTCTTATAACTAGCCCGAGCGCTCGAATGAGGATCTATCCACCAGCCATCAAAGACCGAAATAATAAGTATTCACAGCTCGGACAGTTTTAACAGCTTATCTGATTTCATTCCCTCCAATTCTCTATCCCCTTTAACAGCTAAGAAATTCTTTCGACAGTGAGGTGCAAATTCGAAAATTTCCAGGGTAGTACCTACAGCTACTATCGGCTACCACGATTGCACAGTATTAAAAAAAAAGGCCCCGACAGACCACACAGGGATCATTTACCCCGCCGCTTCAAAGCATTTCAAGCCCCTCCAAGCCCGCTGAAGGCTCTCGCGTGCCCGCCGAAAATCGGTGGTACTGCAGCGAAAAGTTGCTCGGAACGGACAAGGTTCCTTATCAGCAGATGACAAGCACGGAAGCGTCATAAGATATCGACGAAAAAAAAAAAAAAAAGTTTCCCGCAGCAACGCCTAGACTTTCTTCCTCCCATCTCTTTTCGCGGTTGTACGGGAAGGTCTTGATTTCTTTCTTTTCTTTTTATATAATCCCAGTATTATAGATTTTGATTTTCTTTTCCTTTTCTCCCGCAAATTATTCACAAAATGTCACCAGCGGCAGCGGCAGTTGTGGGACGAGAGAAGGAGTCAAACTTGGCTCGTCTGCTCGGTTCAGGTACGCAATTTTTTCTGCGTCCTTTCCAGGGGATTGATTTGCATGAGCCGATGCGAAACTGCGGCATAATGCTAATTGAGGCTGTTTAGGTACCGCTGGTATCTCCGAGCTGGCGCTTTTCCACCCTGTACGTCGCCTGGATCAGAAGTCGCAAAAGCCATCGAATGTCCAATGACTGACTTTTTTTTTTTTGCGCCTTTATTAGGTGGATACTATCGCGAAGCGATTGATGAGCAACCACGGCAAAGTAAGGACACATTCGTCACGAGATCCTTCAATTGAGGGGTTAATCGACAGGACGAGAAAAAAAAGTGTATGAAGCTGACCATGCTTGCAGGTCGCTAACGCAAGCCAATTGAACCAAGTCATCTTCAAGGACAAGGCCTCCGCACCCTTCGCACGAAAGTTTGTCTCGCTATTCCCCGGTCTGGGCTACGCCGCCGGCTACAAGGTGCTCCAGAGAATATACAAGTATGGCGGACAGCCCATTGCGCGCGATTTCCTGGGCAAGCACTACGGAAAGGACTTTGAGGCCGCTTTCGGCAAGAAGACGGGCAAGGCTATCATGCACTCTACTGCTGGCAGGTGAGTTGATTGATGAGAAGACGAATACCTCTACTCTGGAAAGCTGAAGCCGAGGTTAACTTGCGATAGTCTGATTGGAATCGGTGAAATCGTCCTGCTGCCCCTCGATGTCCTCAAGATCAAGCGCCAGACCAACCCCGAGGCTTTCCGTGGCCGTGGTGTCCTCAAGATTGTTGCCGACGAGGGCTTTGGCCTGTACCGAGGTTGGGGATGGACTGCTGCTCGAAACGCACCCGGCTCTTTCGCTGTAAGCGCGCCTCTCTTAGCCCAATGGCATTGATACTCCATTGTATTGCAAAAAAAGCAACGCATGGCGTAGAGATTCTCAATGATTTACTAACGAATGCATTCTCACCCTATTAGCTCTTCGGAGGTTCTGCCTTCGCCAAGGAGTACCTCTTCCAGCTTGAGGACTACAACAAGGCCAGCTGGTTCCAGAACTTTGTTGCTTCCATCGCCGGTGCTTCTGCCTCTCTCCTCGTCTCGGCTCCCCTCGATGTTATCAAGACCCGAATCCAGAACCGCAACTTCGAAAACCCCGAGAGTGGCTTTAGAATCCTGAGCAACATGGCTAAGAACGAGGGCTTCTCCAGTTTCTTCAAGGGACTTGTTCCTAAGGTAAGATGATTATCTAATATGGCTGATGTAATGCATTCGCTTGACTTCGCTTCTGCCATCGCTTACCAGGATACCATTGTCTCCTGATGGCTCTAGTAGGGGTAGAAGCAGCAAGCGATCATTCTCTCCACCCTCTTCTTATGACATGCGCGCACTCTCGAGAATCTGAAACTGATACGATTGCTTTACAGCTACTCATGACCGGACCTAAGCTGGTCTTTTCTTTCTGGCTCGCCCAGACTCTGATTCCCGCTTTCGACACCATGTTCAGCAAATAGAGTTCCAATTACGCAAACCAAAAACCAAAATTATGTACCATGTATAAGCGATAAACGCACCGAAAAAAGACGCAAGTAAAAAGTGGAAGGGAAGAGACTATACAAAACGGGAGAAGGATAGATCTGCAGCGTGTTTCTTAGGATATATAGGGTGCCGCTGGGCTTGGGGTATCCTCGGCCGGAATGGAGGGCATGTATAGAACGACTCTGCTCTGTGTAGAATTATATAATCAAGCGATATAACAAGGAACCGGAAGACAAATCTTCAGTGATTGGACAAACATATGTACAATGTACGCTCTGGGATAAGACACGTCAAAAGAAGCTTCACCAAGCTTCACGCGAATGATATCTCTCTTAAACCTCTTAGGCGCCCCGGACGCGACAAGTGTGATGATGTTGACGCGGCGCTCATCACCATGTGCCTTGCGCTAAAATGTGATTCGCCATTTGATCTTATCAGGTTAAACTCCAGCCATGGCCGCAAAGCTTGCTTGCAGGGCTGTTTTTCGTTAACAATGCCGCCGGCAGATCGTTGCCCGGCAACACTCCACTAGCGCAACAAACAAATAACCCCTGTCCCCTGGCCGCCTTCTTGATGAGCCCGTTCGCCCACTCAACGCTGCGTCGAGTCCACTCAAACCACCCGCAGCTTTATCACGATCTTTTTATGAACACACGCTGGATCGCGACCGGAGCTTCTCGTCGTCCAAGACTGGGAGGCCGCGCCAACACAGCAACCGCTCTTATTTGACATTTTTTTTTTGTGCAAGCCTTGATTTTCTCTCTCCTTGCAGCAGGCTGCACCGTGATACATATATAATCCCGAATTAATAGTCTTCTATCGCCTCCGCAGGCGGGCGTCACTTGCATTCTCGCCCTCCGCACGCTGCATTCCACGCGAGGGACGAGGCATGCCTTATCCTGACCGGCAGGGCTCCTTGGGCGCTGAGCCTTACCTGAGACACCAGCATTCTGCGTCTTCCGACCACTTCAACCCAATGTGCGTATCGACCTGCTTTCACCGCATCCAACAATGTTGTTTTGGCGTCAACTAACCCGTAGCAGGTGGGACAGCGCAGACTCCGAGCGTGCGTCGCTCAATCCCGCGTCCCCAAAGCAGGCCTCGCGGACCAGCACATCGCCGTATCCAGTTTCGAGCGCCATCCAGTCTGCCCATGCTGCGCTTACTGAGCGGGTCAAGGAAAACAGCAGCGGCCTTGTGCCTCCTCCCACCAAGCGCTTCAACGACCCATCGCCTGACCGGACCATCGCCAAGGTCGGCGGGCCGCACCGTAGACTGCAGTCCATGCACACCGGCTCCGTGCGAGACATAAGTCTGATGCTGGAGAACAACTCTAGCAATAGCCCCAGTACGTCGCCGGTCAAGTCACATGAGAAGCCAGAGAGAGCTGCCAGACCGTCTACGCCGCCGGGCCTCAGAGAGAGCAGCTCGTTTGAAACTCGCATCTACGACAAGGAGATGAACATGTCGGCACCATCGCTGTCGAGCAGCCTGACGCCCATTGTGCGCCCTACCGTCCGTCGGCCGGCGCCGCAAAGCATTCTTTCAGAGAACACTCCGCCTCAGTCGTCAACCATGCTGGCCTTGCAAAGCATGCCCAGTGGATCACCAACCAAGGAGGTCGAGAACCCGCTTTCCAACATCACCAATGGATCAAGCGTTGGTGGCAAGGGAGCGACTATGGATACTTTGGCTTCTCAGATCCTGAGCCTGACCAGCATCGCGAGTTCCCTGCAAAAGGAGATGGCAGCGCTCAGTCGGCGTAGCAGAGACAATGCTACAGATCTGCTTAGCCTCAAGGAGGCTACAAACACTCGAGACGAAGACATCAGAAAGAGCCTCAGAGATTTGTTGGGCAATATCAACGACCAGACCGCCAAGATCGCCAGAGATTCGTACAACGGCTACTTCATCGATAACAAGGCCCATCCACAGTCTCCCAACAGCGGGCGAACCTACCAGATGCCTCGAATCCCTTCACCCAAGAGCTTTGCCGAGTCTATTGATCGCGCATCCATGAGCACACCGTCTTTGGTAGGCGGCGACAATTCGGGTGCGACATCAATTCTTCTTTTGGAAAAGATCCTCCGTGGTTTGGGCACCAGGGATGGCCAAGAGTCACTCCTCAGCCATCTCCTCGAGCTCTCGGACAAGCTCACAGGCATGGCGACTGCTGCCAAAGTGGAGGAGCTTGTGGACTTTGTCCGACTGCAGACGGAGAGTGCCATGGTGCCCGTCGCTCAGTCTAGTCGAAGATTCAGCTTGGACCATGAAGGCAGCATTGCTCACCATGGCCATAGCAGTGCCATTGCTCCACGCATGCTCGGCAACATGGACTCTCGCAGACCAGCTACTTCCCAAGGCATTTTGAATGATGACGTGCTCAACATCATTCGCAATGTCAAAGACAGCGTCGCAGCAAGTGGTGGTCTAACTGCAGAGGTAAAAGCGCTTGTTCGAGAACTGCGCGGAGAAGTTTTGGGCATGGGCCGTGAGCTCGGCAAGAGGCTGGAGAATGTCACTGGCAAACCGGGAGGCAACTTCGAGCCATCATCCTCGACGAATAAGGATGAAGTTACGCGGGTTATTGACGAGGGCCTTGAGCAGATGAATGAGCAGCTCAGTCAGGTTCTCAGAGAGCACCGCCGCCAATCTCAAGCATCCGCTCCTCTGCAGAAACTTACCATTGACTACCAAGAGGTCTACGCAGCCTTGAGGACTGCTCTCAAAGACATTGACGCATCCAAAGAGATGCCCGACTTGAGCAGAGATGATGTCCTTGAGGCTGTGCGCGAAGCATGGGAGAACTATAAGCCTGAGATTGAAGTGCAGCAAATCGGATTGGAGAGAGACGAAATTCTCGAGTGTCTCAAAGAAGGCCTCGAAAACCAAATGCCTCCTGCAGCCACTAGGGATGAGATTTTGACGGCGGTTGTTGAGGGCTTAAAGCACTACGTGCCTCCTCAGATGGATACTGCAGCCTCCATGTCAAGAGATGAGATTGTCGAAGCCGTCCGAGAATGCTTGGAGGAATTCGAATTCCCGGTGGCTCCATCTGCGCTTGGAAATGAGCTAACTCGCGAAGACATGCTTCGTGCTGTCAAAGAGGGCCTCAATGATCTAGATCTTGGAAAGAGCAATGCGCTTGTGCCGACTCGCAGCAACGACGAAATCAGCGCCAAGCTTCACGAGTTGATGGACTTTATGAAGATGGAGTTCAGGGCCGTCTCCGACGAAGCCAAAAACAACGTGGCGGCCCATGGTCGAGACACTGAGCATCTTTTGGACGCTACGAAAGACGGCCTTGAGCATCTGCGTGCATCCATCGAAAGCTATGTTGACCGTGCCACCGGTGTCACTGGCCAGGAAGAATTCTTGGATGACCTTTTAAAGTCTCTGGATTTGTTCAAGGAAGAAATGTCGGCGCTTGTGTCAAAGGCCAATGCAACTTCTCGAGAGCAGCTCCAAACCGAATTGGAAGGGCTGCGGGATGTTGTCCATTCGTCCATGGTTCCGGCCGCTCCCCTGATGCCGCAGACGCACAACGACGATCTCCTTGACGCTCTGCGGAAGGGACTGAGTAATCTGCGACAAGAAATCCTCCGACCACGGCCAGAGACTAGTGAAATTCTCGATGCTCTTAATGATGGCCTGAATGACATTCGAGCTGGCATCGACAGAATTACAAACAAGCCGGTGGATCTCACTGCCAATGATGAGATCCTCGACGCTCTCAAGGAAGGATTAGATGGCGTGCGATCTGATATCGGCACAATTCGAGACTCGAGCAACGACAAGGCAGTCGCCATTCGCACCATCAACAACGAGAACAGCAACGAGATGGCGATTATTCCTGCTGATATGGCCAAGCAGAATGATATCAAGAATCTCGAGATTTTGATTACCCAACTGCGAGCCAAGATTGAAGAGATGGGACCTACTACCGGGGCCCCGGCCCCGGCCCCCGCCCCAGCGGCTCCCAAGATTAATATGAGTCACCTAGAGAATATGCTTCACGATGTCCAAAGGAGCGTTAATGAGCTCAAGTCCCGCTCACCCGTCGTGGTCCAAGCTGCCAAGCCGCGCGAAGGGTCGGAGCAAGACAAAGGCCATTCGGAGACGCCAAAGGAGGGAGAAGAATATGTTATGAAAAGCATTCCGTCCTTCTTCACTAAAAGCGGTGGCAACCCAACCAAGGAAGATGTTGCGGCTATTGAGAATATTCTGCGCAACACCAAGTCTCGCGTAGACCATCTCATTGATGGTGATCAAGCAGTGCGACGAGAACACATTGATACACTAGAATCGCTCATCTTGGAGTCTCGAGAGGCTATCCGATCAGTCAACCGGCAGCTGGAGGACATTCCCAACTTATTTCACAAGGATGACTTTGCCAAACTGACTACGATCATTACTGATCTTGGCGAGGGCTTGGAGGCTATCAAAGATCATGCCGAGAGAGAAGCCCTAAGCCCTGAAAAGGTCAGAAAGTCGGATGTTCAGGCTGTTGAGACGGTTGTACGGGATATCAAGACTCTCGTTGACGGGATTGCAGTGGCCGACTTTGCCACCATCACTACTCGAGAGGATCTCGCTAAACTAGAAGCAACGATGAAGGCGACCAAGGACACTTTCGACAACTACCACGAAACATCGTCAAAGGCGCTGGTCGACCGCAAATCTGATATCAATACCGTGTATGAGCGCATCCAAGAAGTCAAGTCCTTTATCGAAGAGTTCCAGGCCGAGATTCGAAGTAAACTTATGGACGGCTCTGAGAGCGTCGGCAAGGCACTGCAATCTATAAGCGAGAAGGTCGAAAAGAATGAGAGCGTGGGCGGAGACGTCAAAGACATGCTTGAAGTCATGAAGAGCGAATTTGAGATTTCCAAGGAGGCCATTGCGGGATCCAGGATTGAGTCCAACGAGAAGCTCGATGAGGTAACTCAGAATATTCGCACCAAGATTGATGACAAGGTCAGCGAGCTCCTGGCCAAGAATGAAGCTCTCCGGGTCATGATGGACGAAAAGTCGCAAGCTGCCGAAGCACGCGAAATCGTCACTGAGTCGGCTTTGTCGGGCACCAAGGCTGTTGCTGATGAACTCAAGCTGCTGATTGATACTCTTGGATCCACCGTCACCGATTCTCTAGAGAAGATGGAAGAGGCTTCCAAGACTGTCTTCACCAAGGTGGAGGAAGTAGCCTCTCGCTCAGAAGAGAATCACAACGAGGGCAAAGTCGATCACCAACAGACGCGCGACCAACTCCGTGAAGCTGTCGGCAAGGTCGAAGGCAGTGTCAGCGAATACCAACCTCAGATCTTGGAGGCAGTCAAGAGCATCCTTGGCCTCGTTGGCGATCACTATGAGCACTCCAAAGGAATCCAGGACAAAGTGGTGGGAGCGATTCCCACAGAGCAGGCTTTCAGGGCCATGATGCCGGAGAAGTACGACGACGCGGTTGTCCACCAGAAGCTGGATAAGATTGTGCAGCACAATGATGATGCAGCGCGTGCCTTTGTCCAGCTTCAGACACTCGACAAGGTTCACCAGCTAGTTGTGGAGAATGCTGCAGAATTGTCCGAGTTTCTTTCCAAGCAGACTAGGCACGCTGTGGAAGAACGCGACAACCGTGCTAAGCTCTTGGAAGAGACGAATATTGCTCTTGAGAGAGCAAAAACAGAACAAAAGCATGCCGATGCGTCCGTCAAAGAGCTAAAGGAAGAGGAAGAATGGCTGAAGCGTAGCGTCTTGTCTTTACGGAACGAGCAAGAAGGCTTGATGAAGCAAAAGACGCGCCTTACTGGCGATGTCTCTGCCCTCGAGACGGCACTACGCTTACGCAAGGAGGAGCTCCTCGAGATGGAAGTTCGAGCCGAAGGTTTGGAACGAAGAATCTTCAACGGTGTCATGGATCACTCTCGAGTGCTCCTCTTTGGCAAGAAAGCCAAGGGTGGTGCCGACTCTATGAACCGCAAGCGAGTTAAGAAGTCAGCCGGCGACGACGGCACCTCGTCTCCGCGAGGCATCGCAACGGCTTTCTCCTCTGCGAGAAATCCTATGGCGCCGGGACAAGTAGGGACTACGCGACGTATTGCGTCTCTCAGTCAGATGACAAACAGCGTGGCAGCAAACCCCATCACAAGAAGTCATAGCGTGAAGACTCCGACTGTTAGTGTCAACGGCCATCGCAAGCGCAGCTGGGGACCCACGGCGCAGAAGAGTGGATTGAGCACAGAGGACAAGGAGAATGTCAATGTTGAAGAGACGGTGGAAGAGCTCGACGAGGGTGACTTGGTCAACGTGACTCACGAATCTGCTGCTGTTGATGACGGGGCGGACGATCGCTCAGAGTACGAAGAAGAGATTGATGAAGATGACGATGCGGAGAGGCACGACGGAAGCGATGGCACGCAGATTCGACGCGACAGCCAGGGATATGAGGACGATTCTGGAAGTGAATACGAGGAGAGCATTGATGGCGACGATGAGCCTCATGCTGCTGTCGTTGTTCGGTAAACAAGGACTATTGGTATAGTAATGGGAGGAATTCAATGGTTTACGATTTTGTCGAATTGATTCGCCGGGAGGCAGTGCTTGTGTTTTTTTTTTTTTGTTTCTTGGTTTCTTTGTTACTTTTTTCTATTACCCCTTTTTGCTTATTCCCTTCTTGCCTATTGGCACTACTGCCCCATTCTCTTGGCTTGATGTTTACAGAGATGGATAGTTATGAGGAGACATGATAGCCGCTGTTTGATACCTGTATGTAGTTTTGAACGATAATTGATAGTTACGTTATATTATAACATACACTTGTGGGATGCTTCTTGCCGAATGGGATGACGTTTTCAATTGTGAAGCTGAATATCTGTATGATACCTGAAATGGTTGGAGAGCTTGGATGCTATCCGTCAGACGAGGAAGATGATGCGCTGATACGGTTATCAGGTATGGTGGGGTCCAGCACTAACTATTGCCCGCCAACGCATCCCAGACATGCTTAAGCTTCCTCTACCCATATTGAACTTGTGCAACATCATCACGTCAATTGCCACGGTCCAAGAACCCGCATGCACCTTGAAAGAAGCCCAAATTGTAATTCATAGCCACATCAAGAGAGATACGCGATTATCCACCTTGCAAAATGGACCAGCCGCACGCTGGTGGCGGCCTCATCTCGCCGCCAGAGCTGTCTCCCATGGAGCAGGAAATCCTGGAAGAATACGAGCGCTTGGCGACGAATATGAAGACTGTACGTGCCATTGTCAAGAGACACGTTTTTTTTTTTTCTCTTTTTTTTTTCTTTTGGCTGTTTTTTGCTAACGAGATGTTGAAAATAGCTGGCGACGCTGCTGGATAATTTGGCGTCGAATCCTACGGTCGGGATACTCGATGGGCTGCGGGAGCTGGAGCGCAAGACGAGCTTGGCGTTTACGCTGCTGAAGGCGAGTGTGTATAGTATTGTGCTGCAGCAGGAGATTGATTGGGGTGCTGGAGCTGGAGCTGGTGATAGAGGAGGTGATGGTGGAAATGATGGACAAGAGGAGAAGGAGGAGCGTGAGGATGAGGATGAGGATGAGGATGAGGATGATGAAGATATGGAAGAGTAAATTGTGGTGGTGATGGATTGCTGATGATGATTTTAATGATACCCGATGTTAATGAGATTTTAGCCAAGGAGAATTTGATATTCATGCGTTCTTGTTCACTTTTCAGCATTCTTTGTTTTCTTGTCAAAGTTGTATATATTCATTTCCCAGCGTGATAATAATACTTGTACATTTGAGCAGTGAACATCACCGCTCATACTTTTTCCCCCGTCTCTATTTTTTTTTATCAAACAAGTAGACAAAAACCGACTTCCCCTTTCTTCTCCCCTTCTAATATACATTTCCTCCATAGTACACTTTTCGCACGTCAACCATCTTCTTCCCTCGTCCAATGGCAATTGCCTCGGGGTCGACCTGGTTCATCAGCGCGCTGTAGGCGGCCTTGACGGAGTTCATGGGGTTCTTGGACCGGGGCATGCTGGCGGCGATGTCGTGGATGCCGGCGGCACGGCACATTTCGAAGATGCGGTGGGGGCAGCGGAGACCGAAGCCTGTGTTGTTGTGTTAGCATATGAAGCCTCTTTTTTTCTCTCTCTCTCTCGTTCATAGAGCAACGTACCTGGAGGGCGGGAAAACAGCTCGACAACTGTGCCCGAAACCTTGGACGTCGACTTTCCGTAAATGGTGCGGTTCTCATACCGTCTGATGGGCTTCATGTTGCGAATCGCCAGCAGCTGCGCCGTCTCGGCGGCGAGACCAGCCTCGGTGGATTTGGCAATGCCCAGCCCCAGGCGGCCATTGCCGTTGCCTGCAATGGCGACGACGGACGTGCTGCGGACCTTGCCCAGACGCGTCTGGTTGGAGACCCAGCGCGTGACGAGCACCTTGCGGTAGATGGACTGGATGTCCCGCAGCGACATGCCCGTCAGCCGCTTGATCTCCTGGTAGCGGCCGTCGTCGTCCATGCCCTCGTCCTCGGGGTCGGCGGCGGACTTGTACAGGCCCTCGACGCCGGGGACCTTGCCCAGCTCGGGCGCCTCGGCCGAGTGCAGCCTGCTGGAGCCCGCGGGGCCGTCCTCGATGAGGTCGAGATTCGAGGGCTCGATCTCGCCCGAGTCGAGGCCGTCGCTGATCTTGCTGAGCTCCTTCTTCCACTCCTCGTTGATGGCCTGGTCGAGCTTCATGACCTGCTCTTGTGTGATGGTGGCGGCGGCGTCGTCGGCGCCACGGTCTGCCTTCTTGTCCTCGCCGTCCTCCTCGATCAGGTACTTCTTCAGCAGCTCGGGGTCCCTCTCCAGGTCCACCAGCTCCTCCTCGGTGAGGTCTATCAGCTCCGCGCCGTTGCTCTCCTTGACTCGCCGCAGCGCGCGGACCATGGCCTTTGTGAGCTGCTCGTTCGTCTTCTTGTCCGTCAAGTCGGCCAGCTTGGACCCGTACTTGTCGGCCCAGTCGCTGGGGTTGAGCCACTGCGGCTCCCAGGGCGTGCCCTCAATCTGCGGCTTGACGTCGTACCGCGGGTCCAGCGTGGTGTAGTCCTCGACGTACTGCGGCCTGTAGGGATCGTCTCGCAGCCGGCCCTGGAAGATGAGGTCCTCCGGGTCGATTGCCTCCTCGGCGGCCTTGAGGGCCTCGAGCTGCTCGGGCGTGTACTTGCGGCTGAGCATCTCCAGCTCCTCCTTGGTGTACTCGGGGAACTTGTCCTGGCGGTACTTTGCGAGCTTCTCCGGGTTCAGCAGGCCCATCTCCTCGGCCTTGACATTGCGGAAGCGTGACCGCCGCTTCGAGGCGCGGGGTATCGACGTGTGAAGCTGGTGCTGGCAACTCGGGATGGCGGCGATGGTTTGCGCCGTGCGGGCAGAGGCGACGCACTTGCCCAGGAGGCTGCGCGCCGGGCGGGCGACGCTCATGGCCAGACGAGGCTCCGGATTGCGAGGCGCAGCGGAGTCAATTCCCTCTCGGGGGGGTCGTGGGGAGGGTTTTTCGGGCGACAAGGACGCTGCAAATCGAGTTCGAGATCGTCTCACTCACAACGACCCTTGAGATTTTTCTGCGATTTGCCCAATTGAGGAAACCGCACCAAAAAAAAAGTGGCTTGACAGATGACATAATCAGAAAAACTGTGGCTGCAGACCGAGGGGCACGCCCCAGCCACATCGCATCACGAGATGGTGCACGTGCGGCTCATGGCACCTCAGAGTTGCGCTACTACGGCACTTTAAGTTGTTAGAGGACTCCAAGCCCAGGTACAGAGGGCTTCTGCTGCTCCAATATGTCCCTACTAGTATGCTGTAGGTGCCGCATCCTCAAATCGTACGATTCTCTACAGCCATAAAACATAAACGCCTTCTACAATGTTTTAGCCAGTAATCATTTCCCAATCTCCAGGTCACCCCGTCACGCCCTGGCCTGATACTACAATATTTCCCACCCCCAGTAGCCGCATCGTGAAACGTCTCAGGAGGCCTTGGCCGCTCCCCCGTCTAGTTTCAAAAGTTGTCACTTATTACGACTCGCCAGAACAAACCCCCCCAAATTCCTTCTCAACTTACGGCTGTTTTTTTTCTTCTCTTATTTTTCTCTTCTTTCTTCATACCGCTCGTAATAGATCATCCATTTTTGTGGTTTGCTTTCTTTTTTTTTTTTTCCCTATTCTTGCTCCAACTACCTAATTAAATAGACGGTTTCCACTGTGACTGGCTCACACAGGACCCATCTCCATCTTCGCCCTTGACAACTTACGACCTCTTAATCACATCAAGAACAAGCCTTTCAAATCCTGTCTTACAAACAACACAAAAAATGGGCCAATTCGACTGGTTCAAGAAAATCGGCGCCACCGACGAGGCCGTCGCCGTCCTCAACGACCAGCCCTACCTCTTCACCGTCCTGCTCGTCGTCATCGTCACCCTCCTGGTGCAGGGCGGCGTGCTCTATGCCATCCACTGGGGCACTTTCAAGGACTCGCAGAAGAAGCAGCCCAAGAAGGGCGGCAAATCCGGCGGCGGCCTGATCAGCAAACTCACAGGAGGTGGGAGCAGCGACAACGGCCGCCGTGCCGCTGGTGGCAGCTAAGCGCCAAAGGAATGGTCACAGCAAAAGGCCAAACAAATTCACTATCTCATCCATTCTATGCCGCCATATTCTACCAGTTGATCTGGTCCATCTGTCATTCTGACTACCGAATTTTAAAAGAGATACCAAGCAGGTTGCGTTGAAGGGATGACCGCAATTAAATAGGGGATGTAAATAAGAGACATGCCTGTTGGATGGTTAACAAGAGAAGGGGCGCAAGGAGGATGCTTTCACTATTTAAATCGATATATTCCGAAGCGTTAAAGCAAAGCACTACTTGTAGTTTACTCATATGACTTATAAAAACAAACATCTTCATCATATCCGGACGGTAATATCGTTTCGCACGAGGCCCCTGCATCTGTATATTCTGTAGTAAATCCTCCCGAACATAACCAGTCGTTAAAGGTTGTGAGAGGCTGTACGTCCAGCAAAGGTATCCCATGATTTATCGCGTAATACGGCGAGCTAGAATCTGGTGTAATGGGATATTCCAGCTCGCGCATAGGCGTCATCGCAGGATCATCCAGAATACAGTTTGCTCCAGTCTCGAGATATCCGCCATGAGACGGCAATAAATTGGGGTTGGCTGCCTTCACCTCTCCCGTGTTGCACAGTCGTGAGCCGAAAAACGTCAAGTTGCCTTGCTGGAATGGCTGGAACAAAGCATCCCTCATGTCATAACTTTCCACCAGAGAGTGTTCGCCTATCTGAGGTTTGTTTCCGTAGTCTTTTCTTTCCACTTGTATTTCTGATAGCAAGGTGCCGGGTTCACAAGATATCGCCTCAGATTGGGTTTCTGTGATTGATGATGCCACATCAACCTCGCGCCTTGCTTGACGTGATCGCGTTGGTATCCTGACTGACGATAACAAGACATCCCATGCGCCCTTCTCAATTCCTCTTATAACACAATCTCCACGATCGCAATTTTCGTCAACCACTCGACCTGCGAATGTGGCAGTTTTGTATCGAAGGCTTGGTGATTCAGCGTTCTTCATTCGAGCCAACGACGTAGCTATGGTAGACAATAGGGAGGCCCGATCATAAATAATCTACAAGGCTATCAGGTCAAAGCTACTACGCATAGCTATCCTAGAAAATTGGACTTACCTTGAGATACTGCATACTGAACACAGCAGGCGCCAGTTGTGTCAAACACTCAGCCCACGAGCAGGTATTGGTAGTGATGCCCTTGTACTGTTTTCGTGATCCGAGCACCATCAGTTCTAGTGCAATGTCCAAGAATTGCCTGAGCTGCTTCATGGATTCAGTCTTTGGAGGCTTGGCGCTACGAGATGGCTTTCGTGTCTCTCGATAAGTCTGTTGTGAGAAATACTCTAAAATCCTCTGAGCATTTAGTAAAGTATCGCCTGCATCTTCCGTGGCTTTGTTCCGTTTTCTTTTCAATGACGGTTTCGCGGGAGAAACGTCAACATAGCAAACCACAGACTGGAATTCTGCTGTCGAGGCACCCTTCGGGGTCACCAAAGCAGATGACAAGTCCGGATGCTGTATAGAGAATGACATTTTGCTCAAGGGCTCATCTATGCCTCTTTCGCAACTTTGTAGCCGAATCCCTGCCTTGGCCCAAACCTAGCACAATCAGTTAGTCAAAAACAAAATGAGATCACACAGCTCACAGCATACTTCACAGTATTGTATCCATTCTGTAAGCTCGGCAATCTGATCTCCCGCCGTCACACATTCGCCCTGGATAGAAACAATGACATGGAAATGACAAGATCCAATTCGCGCAATCCACAAGCGCTCCTCCGCCACTAACTTCAACAAGTCGGTGCTTGTCTGCGGGACTTTGACGCCATCGGGAAACTGCAGCTTTAATGAGCCTTCAAGCGATAGATCCAGATACTGCCCATTGTCGGAGAGATGGATCTTTGGCAGATTGACACTTGCAAGCTGCATAATGTCTTGCCCACTGTAGTTATGAAGGCGCAATAGACGCACATGTGCCGGAAAATTGGGAAACTGCGCCGAATTGTGACAATATAGATGGATAAGAGAATAGGCGATGTTGCTCTCTGCACCGGAAGTAGCATGAAATGCTATTGAAAGTTTTTGACATCTGGATCTACAAAGAAAACCTTTGTGCGCATCAGATTTTCTTTAGTCACCAGATTCAGTGTAGGGAAGCTACGTTCCGCAGCACACGCGGAAGGAGAGAATCAATTCACCACCTTCCTCACGGTTACTAAGATAGGGTTATATATATATGTAGATACCGTAAACAACCGCAGTGATGCCATCTGATAACTGTCTTTGAACGAGGAAAAAAAAAAAATGAAAGAGAGGCAGGCCTATATAAAAAAAACGAAAAGGAAAGAAAATAGCAAAAAGAAAAATTCTCGAGTCTATGTTTTGCTGTAAATCCTTCCTTCGCCCAGCCTGCAAGAAAATATTGTCGCTACCCAAAAATCGTGTCCAAAAAAAAAAAAATTGTTAAAAAAACCCCAGTCTTTTTATGTGTCCTTTGTTACAACCAAGAAATGAAAAAAAAACTCCTCGCCTCAGCGGTTATTTAAGCCATGGAAAAATCTTCTTGGTTGGCTCCAAGGGTCCTCCTGACGAGGAACTCTCTACAACAATACTTCGTTGATAAATTTCCTATAATCATAGTCATTATTAGCATGCGGGCTAGGGGAATTCTGAACAAAAAAAATTCTATATTTAGGAGTGCGTGTGCATATCTTACCTCGTCGTCAGTTGTCATATGGCAGCTCAATATCAGCTCACGAACATTGTCATTTTTGGAAAGGTTAGGGTATGGTGTGCCCTGGCTCTTCATGAGCGGCAAAAGAACCTCTCCAAGGACCTCAAACTTCTTCCAGTTGATGCGGTCGCCGTTGGGCCCAACAAGTGTTTTACTGCCTTCCTCGGCAGACACCAGATCACGGCGGTGCAGGGGAATGAAGGGAATTCTGGGCAAGGGAGAGTTCTCCCAGGCCAGTCGATAAGCGAAGTGACTCTTCTGAGTACCCATCAAGATGAGCAATCTCGCAAACTTCTTATGAGTGTCTGGCGAGACCAGAACCTTTGTTTGAGCAAGGCGGTGGATTGCCGTTCCGTTGAGCCCTGCCAAGACGGCCGCCAAACCGTTGTAGTTGTTGAGCTGTCGAAGCTTGAGGGCAATGTTCATAAACTTTTCGAGAACAACTGCTCGGTGTTTCGCCTTGTCTCGTAGGAGAATCATATTGGCAACCCACCTGGCAACGTGGTTGAAGTGGTTGATCATGCGGTTTATGTTGTTCAAGCTCTTGCAGCTCTCCTTTTGGCTGGCCGGTAAACTGACGTGACGCACAAAATCGCGGATTCGGATGGAAGAGAACATGATCCAGTCGATCCGGGTCAGCTCATCTGCAATATCGTCGTCTTTAATTTCGACAAAGATGCGGTAACGAAACTTATTCATCGGTAACTGAGCTGTGGGGTCCAAGGTGCTGGCTTCTCTCTCATAATCTTCGTATGAATAGAGCTGTATTTGGCCACCACTGCCGACTACTCTGTTGAGGTTCTCCGAGCTCACAGATGGTCGCTCAAAATTGCCGTCTTCCTCAAACTGTAGGGCAGTCAGCCCCGCCGGTAGCTCACTCAATTCTTTAGAAAGAATGTCGCTGGCCAGCTGGTCATTAGCATCGTCGGCATTGGCCCAGCCTGTATCATCGTCCTCTATCACGTGGAGGGTAAGGTTCCGGTGCATTTGCCTAGCAGCTATGCAGAAGATTGGCTCCGTGGAAAGGTATCTGATAAACTCATCCAAGTTTCGTCGCGTGGTTAGACGAGCAAAGTCGCCGGGATACGTAGACACCCATTTGGCCATGGTCTCAATGATTCTCAGTTGAGTGGCTGTCTTGGTCAGGTGGTGCGTCGTCTTGTCATCCCTTACGCGATCCAGCCGCATCAGGATTGCGGAAAAGAGCTTTCCAGGAGCAGCAAATTTTCGATACAGACAGAGGAAAACATCAGTGAAGTTGGCGTCCGCCCTGGAAAGGCGCAGCGCCAGCAGCCGATCTACGAGATCGTCGAATGACAGACCCGTCATCTTCTTCTGCTGTTTTTCTATAACAACATCGTCGTTTCGCTGCAAGATGGGAATGTCGTCCGAGTATCGACGAGAATCCGTGTCGGACTCATCAACATCAAGGAAGGCATCGCTTCCACGGGCATCTAAGGGGCAATGTCAGCTTTGGACCCACAACAACTGCCATTGAAGCTCAAGGATGTTGACGTCGCGGTAAGCTTTCCGGGATCCGGAATTTCGTAAATTGTCCCATCTATAATGAGTAATACTAACCTCGGTGTGGACTCCTGGACGCCGGTTTCTGCAAATGGCCGTCGGCACCAGGAGTGCCGGAGCCCGGGGCTTGGAAGCCGCGAAGCAGCGAAAAATCCGAGCTCGCACGGTTATGTCTCCCTTGGCTGACCGGGCGGCTGCTAGTATCGGGGGCGTCGAGGTTCGCGGCCGATTGCGCCCTCTTGCGAGCAGCAACCATCTCGCCAATCTCAATCTCTTCTAACGAATTTGTCAGCATGAGCAAATCTCGTATGCATCTGATAGGGTGAGCATCGCGTTTCGTACGTGGTGACATGCCCCTTCTATGAGCGACGGCAGCCCTGAGAATGGCATGCAAACAGCTTCGATCTATGTCGGGGCTGGTGGAGGAGATCTTATAGTGGGCCAAAACAGGTTTGAAGAGCGTATGGTTCGCCAATTCATCTGCATTGACCTCTTGTTCTTCTTCGGGCGCTTCGCATTTGCTCGCGACCAACACGGCCGGCATGTTCGAATTCATCAAAGCAGCTGCAGGGAATCACCGATTAGCTTCAGTTTGCTCCAGCGATACGTTGTGCGCATTCATCGACACGTCGACGACGCGGTAACAAGGGGCTTGCTCATCCAACGTACCCAGCGTCTGAGGAAGTTCACGGATGGTGTCCCTATTCGTAACATCGTAGAGCACCAAGGCGGCGTCGACTCGGGGCACGATGTGGCCGTTGATTTGTTTTGGCCACTGGATGGGGTGTGGTGTGTTTGTATTCAGCTCGAACGAATCCAGGTCCAGCTCGAGGAGCGTTATCATGTAAGAGGTGGAATCAAGGTTGATGCGAACGCTGGACGCGGTAGATATGGGCGGGCGCGACAAGCCCAGAATTCGTTGCACAAAGGTGGACTTGCCGACGCCCATGGCGCCAATGATGGCGATGTTGTAGCTCTCCATGGCGGAGGTTTGCTGCGACTGGGAGTTGCGGTAACGGTCAGCATGGAAGCGGTCTCAAAACAGAATGTCTCATCAATGTAACCAAGATGAAGAGAGGTGAACCCCTGGCTGGCAGCCCCGCGACACAGGTCTAGGCAGGGGTTGATGAATGAATGATTGGGTGGGGACGGAGTGGTAAGGATGTGAAATATGGACGAGCAAGGTTAGATGATCAGCGCTGGCTGAGAGTTGGTCTGTCTGTTATGCGATGCAGTAGCAAGACGTGCGCATCATGGCATTCCAACTGCGTTGAAGCAACATCTTTTTTTTCTCTCTTCTTTTCTTTTTTCTGCCATGCTCGAGCTTAATTGTGGAGTTGAAAAGGTAAAGGGCTGGTTTCGTTTCCTTTCTTTTGGCTTCCTCTCCATCTCCTTCTTGATATCCAATCTGTGCGCAGCAACGTACCCAAAACGGGGAAGATCCAATTGTCAACGACTCTCGACGGGGGGGTGGCCAATGTAGCTTCTGTTGCCCCTCGTGATCATATCTGTTGCTGCGAGGAGTCTCGGGAGAGAAGAAGGGAATCTCTGTCAATGTCTCTGATTCGGACTCGAGATATTTGTACGTGTCGGCGGCGGGAGCGGTAGGGGTGCTTGGGCTGTCCAGGCTCTGGAAGAAGGGATCGTCGACAATCGAGATGAAGGAATCACGGTTAGAGCTAGGGAGCGAGGGGTTGGTCGCAAAGGCGGCGGCGGAGCTTGTGCGCGAGGGAAAGCTTTGATCAGCAGATGTCGCCGAGGCCCTCGACCAAGAGCTGCTGCTGCTGAGCGCCGCGGAAGGGCGTCGATCTGCCGCAGCACTTGGGGTCTCGGAGCCGGTGCGCAGACGTTGGGGCCCGGAGGAGCTGCGGTCTGTGGCCGTGTAAGCGAAGGGTTGCTGGGATGCGCTGGGTGGCACCATTGTCGCAGTCTAGAGACGCGACCACAGCGCGGATACGGACATGAGCTGCAAAGGACGAGAGGCAGAGATGGTTTGACGGTGATGGTGATGGTGATGATGGTGGGAGGGGTGAAAGCAGGGAGGAACAGAGAGGAGTAAAGAGGATGGCCAAGTGGAAGAAGAAAAAAATCGGAGCTAAGAAGGCTGTCACAGATATGGGAATGGTCCGATGTTTGGAGGTGAGGAGACGGATAAGGGATTATTGAAGATAGATGCGAATCGAATCCATGCCATTGGGGGCCACTAGTGAATCGACACAGCAGAGCTAGAGGCACCACTTACCAAGCCCACACCGGGTAGCCCACGAGGATCGAAGCGAAATGGAGACGGCGATGGCCAGGCCCGGGGAATTCAAGCCTGTGCGAGGAGAGAGGCAAAACGTGGCCGAGCAGCGACGGCGGCTGAGATATGACGGAGGTTGCTAGTGGTGGTGGTGGTGGTGGTGGAGGTAATGGAGGTGGTGGCACAAAGGACGAGCGCGAGGTACTGCTACCTCGGCGGCGTGGGAGCGAGGCCTGCACCTCTTGTAGGCGGGCAGGCAGAGCTGGCCAGGGACACGCGGTACCCAGTACGCCGCGGGTGTCTGGTGGGAGAGCGAGCGCGGCTTTTCACACGCAGCACCGCAGGAAGGGTGTGCCGCCCCAGCCTGAGCCTGAGCCCGAGCCTGAGCCCGGAGCTCTGCTGCGACGAGGCCCGCTAGCGGACGGCGTAGCACCGCTAGCAGTGCTTAGGTGCATGTCTGGTAGCTTTATCGGCGCCAAATGGGGCCAGGGCTTCAAGTCTAGCGCCAGAATCGACGTCCATGCCGATATGGCAGCGCGTTGTCGGTTCCTATCGCTCCTATAGGCTCCTGTATTTCAGCTAATTGATTGATTGATACCATTTCCCCATCTACCTACCTAATACTATCCATACTAGTGCTACCTACCACCGTTGAGGATTTATAGGATCTCACAGAAATCACGCCAGAATCTGCCTCCGTAGAACAACAGCAACACGGCTGTGCAGCAATTCAAAAGAGGGGTCCCCGGCTGGTGGCCAAGAAACTAAGTTCTGACCTCTTGCTCTCGAGGCGTCTGGGGTCCCCTTAGCTGGCAAGTATATGCATTGGAGACAGCACCTGGAAACTAATTGGCCTATACCAAAAGAGGGGAGCATTGCAGATGCTACTACTTGTAGGTACACCGAAGAGACGGACGCCTCGCAATTCAATCGATAGCACGTTGAGAGTACTAGTAGGAGCAAGAGTGAGTTAGTACCGACATGTAGGCATGCAAGCATTTCGTTCCCGAACAGCCCCATATGTAGACTACGAGGGACCGAATCAGATCAATTGGATGTGGTTTGTATACGTTAGCTAGAAAAGCACTGCAGACTAGAGACGGGTCAATGGCCGAAACTGGTTCATTCTAGCCATCTTGCAGTTCATTGCATGAATGGATATATGCACTGTTCCAATTGTAGGACGGGCACAAGGGAAAGTAGCGGTACTTGCCCAAGCAATATGCATGGCGGAGGAGGGAGGTTCGCCGAACTGGCAAATGGGGCCTTTTGTCTTGTGCCTTTGCCGCGCTCTACTCCCTTGGCATGTGTGAAGCTGTGGTGATGGCTTTCTATTGCACCCACGGTAGGTAGCACGGCATTCAATAGCACCGCCATCTTTGCTCCGCTTGGTAAAACAAGGGCAATACGGGGTAGTGTCTGGAGCAGCATCAGATTGATCAATGCTATTGGCATCCGATGCCTATTAATAGGCGGCAGTACAGTCACCAGAGAATCATCACGCACCTTCGAGTCTCAAAGCAGACACTCGGTAAAACGCAGCTGTTCGCACTAACAACATCCACAACTGGACGCCGATAGATTGGTGGATCACAAAATATACAATGCATTTCAAATCTGCTCCATCCTTTGCATGGCTTTTTTTTTTTTTCCATCACCTCCCCGCCTTGGCTGCGTCTAGGCCCCTTGCAGCTCCCTCGTCTCACCCCTTCAGACACCAAGAGGAAGAAAAAAACGCCACACAAAAGCGCATTGGCGATAGCTGTCACCACGCATGGGCGCCATCCCAGGCTGCCCTTCAAGTCTGTCCAATTGCAGGCCAGCGCAATCAATGGCCTGCATGCAACGGCTCAGATTTACGGCGAATTTCTTTTTGGACTCGACTTTCTCTTTTTTTGCATTATTTGTTGGAGCAAATTCGCTCATCTGGCGACATTTCCGCATGGAGAGGAGGGCCGGCATCCTACCGGCAGTAGAGCTTCCACCCAATTGCGCCTCGCCGTTTCGTCTCGTGTTTTGACTCGAGGCTCGCTTTAGGAAATGGTACGGTCTAGTTACTTTTCCATTTACTCTTTTTCCACTCATTTTCTGTTCTTTGTTTTCTACTTTTTTCCTCCTGGGCTCTGCAGAGGCTCAGTAAAGCATTGCCATTTCCTACCATTCCCGCCTCTCTGCCCGCAGCCGTCAGATTCTTTCAGCGACCCAGCACGCCGGGCTTGCCTCCGTCTTTTCCCCGTGATATCGGCCGTCCAAACGCGGCAAGGTCGTCATCACGGACCCTCAGCGCCCCTCAAGCCACGCCTTGCTAGGCCGCCAGCACGTGGGATTCTAGGCCCCATCGCCCATCGCTCAATGCGCAACGAACCGTGGGAACACGGCTCCTGGCGATTGGATCCATGCCCGCGGGAGCAGATCCACAATCGCATCACATCACATCACACCACGCGCAAAAGCTCTTGAAAGAAATACATACTAGGAGTAAAAGAAATCCTGCAACCATGGCTCTGTGCTCGGCAATTTTACCCCTCTCCCATAATAGTAGCTGCATAGTAGTTGCATACCTAGTGGATTAGCCGTACAGGTACATGGAGGTATATGCTGGAAGCCCACCAGATTCAAGTTGTTAAACCTCTATTTTCAGAGGCAATCCTTAAAGCACCATTCACCTCACCACAACGCTTGAAAGTATCCGTACCACCGTAGCACTCACGAGACCATTCTGGCAGCGTTCAAGTTGGGATCGGCAAGAGATATTCCCTTTGCTGACCACGCGAGAAGAGCGGCAGAGATTGCCACCAAAATTCGGTGCCGGGCCTGTCACCTCGGCCCCGTCCTGAACCAAGACCAGCCGCTTTTAGACCCTGACATGTTGTTCATCAGTCCCTTCGGAAACTTTATGTGGCTCGAATGTGACGCTGCTTAGCACACATGAAGCACAGAGCAGCCCCCAAATACTACGCTCAGTTGCTCGAAAAGGAAGTGCCTGTAATGCAAAGACACCTCGTATTAAAAAAGGAAGCCCTACCCGGTATTCAGTTACACAATGCTTGCAATAGTTCCTCCAAGCCAAGATTCCCCGCTGACACTCCACGCAAGTTTGTATGGGGTATCTATGATGTGTGACTCAAGTAGGTAAGTGCAACTTCACTCGTGATGCTATGTAAACCCTGGCATGGATTGCGATTGTCTACATGGATGTCGAGCATCGCTGTCTTAAGATAATCTCCTCTTATTTACTAGCCCTGCCCCTGTCGATACGAGAACCAGCGTGCTGGGCGCTCTTTTCAGCGTGGCCGTCTAAATCCAGATGCAATATAATTTTGAAACCGAATGATTTCGAGTTATCAAATTTAACCATACTAAAACCGGCAGCGCTGAAGATTCCCCCCCGGCGTCTAGTCATACTTGTAAAGGCAACCTTGAGTCGACTAGCAGAACCCTTGAAATCTTCATCTCAAACAATCCCCCCTGAAGTCAGCTGTGCCACAAGTCGTACTAGTACTGCATCTACCAATACCAGACACACTTGAGGCTCATGAGATTAAGCTGAAAATTGAAATTGCTGAAACGCTGCTTTCATTTCGCCTTGGCCTATTATCCTATGACGTCAAGGCACCCATGGCTGCTGGTGGACTGATATCCATAAATTTTAACGGGTTTTCAGGGGCCGATACAGCCGGATGGTGAGATGCGGGAATCTTAAATTCGTATGCACTTACACGAATCTGAGTGGATGTTTAGATTTTTTTCTTCTTTGTGACGTATGCTACCTATCCATCATGGACGCCAATTGTATATGCACAAGGCGAGTTTTATTGGAACGACTTCTTCACTGTGGATTGTAGAGGTACTTGGGCGTGTGACTGCACAAGAGACATTCAAACTGCATGGCACATCTACCTTAGGTACTCGGCACATGTGTGCAATCTGATGATACAATAATCAACACTAGCACGAGCATCTCAAACTACAGGTACCCGATCGGAAGTGCCGGTTAAGGGTTTGTTGATACGCGGTTCGGCGAAGCTCTTGCGCCAATGGGGTCCTTTCACCGGCTGGATCTCGCATCGTCATGCCGCGCAGATCCACCTGGCATTAGTGGATATTTGGGACTTCATCTTGTATTTTACGAGCATGGCAGTTTACGTCTACAGCGAGCGAATTGACGAGAGACGACTCCGTAGTTACTGTTTAGATACCAATGCTGAGAAAGATTAAGCGGTATTCTGTATGTGCATTGTAGTTGAGATGAAAGGCACGTGCCACGATCGTTGAGGCTATTACTTGGTCTCCAGAGCCGGTAATGGGGGATAGTAGTAGACACCATGGAAATTGAGGCCAGTGTAGTTGAATGCTACGGCATAGGTAGGTATTGATTAATCTCATTGGCTAGGACGCTGGCAATATGTTTTCCCATATCCGCCATCATAATACGGAGGAAGCTGCGCCCTGGGCAGTAGCAGTGGACTAACTGGACTGTCATATATTTACTGGGCTCCTCACAGCCAGGAACTTGAACCTTTTCAACAGCATCTGAAACGGCCTGAGCTGGATGAATTGAGTCCAATAATATGACACCAAGCAGCTGAAAACCAAATTTCTCCCATCCATCATCTCAGCACCATACTAGCATCCATATGTGGCGGCCTATTTTCGACCCGGGCCGTGGCGCGCTGCCACCAACGTCCTCCCACCAAGAGCCGCAAAGATACGCCACTCCACCAAAAGTGAGCTCAAGACGACGAATTCAGACACCTATGATGGCACCGCAAGACAGCTATGGAGATGCCTCAGCGCACGAGCAAGCAGACGCGGCAATGGCTGGTGGGTGCACAGCGGAGCCCTGCCGTGACATCGCTCCTTGCGGCCGCTTCACTTTGCCCCATTGCAGCTTCTCCACCTTCTGTGTATATGCCTTCAATGCTACCCGGACGCCCGTTGGGAGCTTGTGATTGGCGCCCCTCGAATTTACGCACAGCTCGTTGGGCTTTGTTGCTGCTTTGGCTCGGGCGTTGCCAATTTTATTCTTCCAAGCTGGCCTGGCTGGGATCCTTGCTTGGCGGAAACCGCTCCGGCCAACGAGAGCTCAACGGTCGAAACCTACATACGAAAGAAATGGTCTGCAAATCGTCCCTGTGCCATCTTGGAGACTTGGCGCGATGGGCGGCCTTGGTAAGGATGGATGCTGTTTCCCCAGGATAGGCTAGATCTACGAAACAATAGCTCGCTCAGCTGGCTTTAATCCAAAGCTTGGTTGGCGCGGCAGTCAACCAGCAGTTGATTGGATGCTGAAGCTGCTTGCGCTCATCCGCATAAATGAACCACAGTGGAGTGCCGAGTAGGGCAGAGAGCGGCAATGCTGGGGTAGAGCAATGAGGGCCCTGGATGCCGATCCATTTTCATGACACAAAACGGCGCTATTCGTCGATTGACGGACGGCCATCTGAGCGTCGTATTGCATCTGCTCGTATCCTCGGCCCTTACTTCTGGCATGGTCGCTTATTTTTGACCGCGTTTTCGCCAGATCAGAAAGCATCGTCGTCTTGGCCGAGGCGCCTTATCCGCCCCGTGGCCGACGTCGACTGCCACACGGCCGAGCGATCAACGGGCGGTGGCAGCCCTTGGGCACCTCACAAGACCATGGAGACGCAGCGCAAGAATAAGCAACTGTTTGGCGCATCCAAGGCACAGGTCGGAAGAGCCCCTCAACCCCTGCACCGTCAAGTGACCGCAAGCCACCTCCGCAAAGTCGCTCGTCTAGCCGAGCTCTGTATGGCCCGCGCAAGGCCGGCATGCCCCATTCTCCCTGCAATGCTTCCCTTGGGCCAATCGAGGCCGGCGACGGCGCTGCAGGCAGGGGTATGCGCGAGGTTTTAGCTGTAGGTCCCCTTGAACTGGGCGAGCTAGAGGTGGGAAGCGTGGGAAGCCAGACGGGACGATGACAACAGCTCGCATTGCTAACGCCGCTGGGCGAGTCGTGAGTCGACGCAGGTGCCCCGTGGAAAAGCCACCAGGCATGCATATGGCTCTTTTGGACGCTGGCGCCGGCCGGCTTGCAGAGCTCCTCGTGATCGCGTGCCTTGGGAGGAGGCCGAGGAGAGGAAGCATCAGAGACAAAAAGAAGCCAACTGCCCCCCATGCCAGGCCCTTTGATTTCGCCAAGAGACAAGACATTTCGCACAATCCAAAATTACCCTGCCGTCTGTGCCATATGTGCTTCTTTTGTTTTGTTTTGTTTACTGTTCCCAACGCGCCCGCCTTTGTTCGCATTCTGGCCCCGTATACCTTGCTCTGCCCTGTTGTTGCTCCTCAGACCCGCAAGAGCCCCAATTTGCCCTCCACAGCCGTCTTCTCGGCTGCATGACTTTTTCAAAGGGTGGTGTGAGAAACAGACGGATCTGTGTCAGTCAAGGCGTGAGCGTGTATGGATCTCCGGTATACACATAGGTAGGCATGCAACGGAGTAATATGCGTCGTCTCTATTTTTGGGACCCCTGTTGCTACCACAACACACACTTGGCATTTTATATTTAGTACTCATCATGTCCGCTATTCCCATCCTCTCGAGGCTTGCTTGTCACTCCCTGTTGCCGTTCGTTTCCTGATTCATTTTTTTGCTTTAGGCTTTTCTGAACCTACGTTCTGAACCTAGCTTGCGTGGGCTGTTCCCATACGATCCTGGCTTAAACGTCAGCTTACCGAAAGTCTCATTATCATACGTTTATATTGCCACCGACTCCTGCTGCTGAGCACTCTCTCAATGCGGCTTTAGCCATTGTGTCTAAATAGCATCAACACTGGTATTCATTATTTACACGGAAAAGGGACGAAACAAACTACACTTTAGGCCCTCCGAAACCAAGAAACGCATCTTTCGCCATGTTTTATGAGACGCACTACGTGCATGATGTCAAAATGGCTGCTCACCAGCCCATGCCGTACCGAGGCCCGGTAAAAGGCTCTTCGCGCAACCAGGCCTCGAAACAGTCGCGGCAATCCAAAGCGCTTGATCCTGAAGACTTGACGAGACGGCTGCAGGTTGTGCTAGCGGAACAAAGAGCTGTTGCAGAGAGGAAGAAGCGGGCCAGGGCAGCAGTCGAAGCCGAACGACAGGCAAACGCCGCAGCTGCGGCACGGAATGCGAGCGTCCTGCATCCCGGGCAGCACGGAATCCCCTTGGGACCAACTGCCCCATCTACGCTTATACAAAAGAAGCAAGTAACGGCATCAAAGTCACATGGCAAACTTATATCTCGAGATTCAAGCGAGCATGCGCCCACGGCGGACAAGCTTCAGAAAGTTGGGAGGAAAGATTCTACCTCATCGTCTAGCAACAGAAATTCAGAGGATGCAGCGCCATCCAACTACCGCCACGTCCCTCAGTTTGCTGCTTCGCAGTTTGCCCGGACGACTACCACCGAGACGGTAACGGAGAAGCATCTCCTACACAAGTTGTCCAGGCAGGCCATGAAATTCCACATGCAAGGCCCCAATGCAATGGCTAGCATGGTGGCCTCGGACCTGACACCCTCTGAGCAGAACAAGGCACTCAGAAGAGTGCAGAGTATGAGAGAGCGACAATACGAGAGGAACCAGTTTCAGCACAATCATACACTCGCCACTACGGCCGAGATTGACGAGAAGCCAGCATCTTCAGCTATTGCTCATACATTCCAAGAACATCGCAAATCCAAAGACGAGCCAGACAAGGTGTTGCGGAGGAGAAGCGTCGGTGCTATCCTCGGTATGATGATATCAGCAGATCCCGAACCCGCCAGAGCATCATTGTCCTCTGCAGAGAATCAATCAGTTGCCAATCACTCTGATGTTCTGCCAGTCAATGCCGATGAGCACCGCGTGGATTGGACTCAGAGTGACGAAGTCGCCATCCTTCAGCAGCAGCAACAGAAGCAACAGCCTCAACAACAACCACAGCAACCGCAACAGCCAATTAAAGCTACTACAAGCCAAAATGCGTTGCGCAAGTCTGAATCGAGGTGGGCTTTGCGAACCAAGCTCGGAAACCTTGGCAAGAAAAGCGACAAACTTTCTTCACCGACGGAAGAGAAGGACGAAGAGTCGCCCGTCGAAGCACCCAAATCTCCCCTTGCGAAAGCAGGAGGACTATTTGCACGATTTAAGCGTTAGCCTTGTTTATTTGGCAAAGCCGAAAGAACTACATATCCACCACACATGGGGGACGAAGGGATTCAATATGTACCTTGAATAATCTGATTGGATGATTAATGATTGAGAGAATGATGTAATGATAATATATGTTGGGTGTATACATCGGTAATGGAGAGAGATGGCTGCTGTTGTATATGATTGTGAGATGGTAAAAGGAAGCGAGTCGATGTATGTTGTATACCTAGGGAAGTTTTGTTTTTATATCGGCCAAGATCATTATACCCCGAAAAAGTCGCATAAGCCTCGCTCTCAAGCCTATGTTTTTCAATAAATGTAACGTATTTTCAGCAAATTTATTTCGTGTCCTTTGTTGCACATCTTATTGATTTCGTCGATCCTCTGCCAGCAGACGCTCGATGAGAGCAGTGTCCTGCTCGGCAATCTGGCGCTGCACATAGGCCACAGCATCGTTCCTATCATTTGTCTGGTTCATAATATGCAGTATCAGCTCCGTGTACTCGCGGATCGCCTCGCCGTCCTCGCCGCTCGCCTTTCTCGCCCTTCGCAGCGCAGCCTTGCCGTTCTTGATGCCAATGTCGTGGTTCCACTGGCCCTTGACACCGTTGTGGTAACTATTCGCGGGGAGACCCTTCATCAGGGAGGCCGGTATGGCTTTGGAAGCGGCGTCTGGGGATTCTGGCGGGGGCTGGGTGGCATTGTGGATCTCGAGCAGCTGGTTTGGCAGGTTTGGGTATTTCTTGAAGAGGAGCTGGAGCTTGTCTGAGGTGGCGAGGGCGCTGAAGGGATTTGAGGGATCGATGGGTGCTGCTGCTGCTGCTGGTGGAGGAGGCGCATTTGGGGTCTGGTCTGCTGGCTTTTCTTGCTTTGGAGCATCGGGAGGGTGGTTTTGCTGATGGGTTTTGCTGCATGGGACTGAACAACTGTAACGACGAGTTAGACCATTGTTCTATACTGACTTTTCTCTATCTGTCTTTACAAACACAGAAACATGATAGCGCAAAGAGAGACCGATTCATTGGGGAAGACGTACTATGGAAGCCGACACCGCGAGCACTTGTATTTGCCAGGCTTGATCTCGCAAACACCACAAAGGTTAGCATTGGCCTTGCGCGCTGAAGGCGCCTGCGCCGTCGCCGCAACAACATCGCCGTCGTCGTTGCCGTTCTGCTGGTTTGCTTCTGCGTTCGCGTCTGACACGTGCGCTTGCTGGCCACTCGAGCTGGAGACTGGGTTCTTCTCGTCTACAGAGCTCGCGGCGGCCTCGACGCCGGGCATCTCCGCGGTAGCTGAAGAGGTAGAGCTCATGTCAGCCTCGTCGTGGAGAGCCTCTGGCGCCATGGTTTGTCTTTTTTTTTTTTTGTTTTTGATACAGGGCGGTTTCGCAGGCAGGGCGTTTGTTTCCAATGTCCGGCGCGTTATGCGATTCTATCAAAAGTGTGCAGGTGATGTTAAGAGTAGCGCCCCGCCACCCTAAACTTTTTTTTTTTGGGCAGGCCTAGTTAGTCGCTTGGCGCGCAGATCTTTTTCTGTTTCCCTTCCCTTCTTGCGGTACAAAGTACATACACTTGGTCGCACATTGTTCAGATAATACGACTTCAACTACGGTGCAAGGAACATGTTCGTCAAGAAAGCGGGAAAAAAACATAAAAAAGACTTGAAAGGAAAAAAAAAAATATGGCGCCGCTGCACCCTGGAAATGGATATGCATATCAGTGAACAGGGCAGCGCAGCGTCATTGGTGCAGTTGCGTCATAACGGTCGTTCAACCGGTGATTTTCTGCAAATGAGCATGTGTTTATTATCTCTATAGGCTTCCCGCCTTGAACCATTCCACTGGGGCGAGAGAGGCCAAGTTTTGCTGGTCTCGATTGCCTGCTTACATTATGCCGGTTCCTCATTGGCCGTGATGAAGGCAATTCGGGTTGGCTACCATGTATAACACAAGTTTTGACAGGATATTTCTCAGTTTTTGTGTCTTGTTTTTCGTTTAATCGGAGCAATGTCTCTGTGGCGCCTCCTGATTGACGCATGGCGGCTGAGCTGAAAGAAGAGGAAAGAAGAGCTATACGTTCTTTTGCTGGATTATCTCGAAAATGTTGCGATACTACTACCGGATGTCATTCACTGCCGTAGGTACTACCAGGCAGGTAGGTCTAAGCCTTCTCAGTCAAAGCAACTTGCTAGGGAGTCCTGACTGAGATGACTTGGTTTCAATGGCCATTCCGTAGGGCTACAATGCCGCGCGGGCTAGGGCTAGGGAATAAGCTCCAGCTGGTAGATTGTTAGTCGTCGTGCTAGCCTCCCAAGGTTTTGGATTCCCCAGAGTCGTAGCATGTGGCGTGCCGCCCAAGGTTCGAATAGCCTCGACTTGACAGCACAGTGCATAGGAGCATGGGAGCGGGGGCCAGCATTTGCAGGACGCCACCTAATCACCGCATGACGAGGATTCAAACTGCAGTCGACAACAAAACTGTCATCGCCGCGTGGGCATTGCTCAGGCAAACATGCCTTGGCCCAGCGGGCTTATGCGAATCGCACGCCGCCAGTGCTCTTCCCGCCGAGTCCCTAGTCCCTCTTCAGCTTTGGAGCTCGGCTGGCGGGCGGGCGTTGGAGGAGGTGTAGCAGACGTGTAATTTCGAATTGGCATCTCGACAGCGTACCGTAGAGTTGAGCAATGGTGCTGGTATGCATGTATCAGCGCCAATTGAGCGGGCGCTCTTCATTGATTGGAGCCGTTGGGGGTCATCCATGCTATAGCTGCGGGACTGGAGCTTTCGTAGCACCCGGATCTTTTGGAGCAATCGTAAAAGCAATACTACTACAGTAGTAGCTGCTGCAAGAGTCGCTCAACCGCTGCAGAAAGGGCGTCGCGTGATACTTGTCTCAGCTGCTCGCACCTCGTACCTTGGCCTCTGCAGCTCCCACTGGCTCGTGGCTGGTCCATGGAATGGCTGGGACGGGCTGCGCTTGGGAGGGGCGCCAAGCAGGTGAAGCGAGTCGAAGGTGCCCGCCGCTATGCTTGGCCGGTAAAAGCTTGGTAGAGGTCAAGCGGTACTTGGTAGCAGCAAGGCTAGCATCGAAGACTCGACGCCGTCTGTCTCCAATCTCGATGCGAGAAACTGTGCCGCCCCAGGTGGGAGGCAGAGGCAGTTGGAGCAGGCCAGGTGACTTGCGACTTGACTTGAGGCGGGGTTCTGGAACCAGACGATTTGCGGGGTGGCGATCTCTGCTATTCTGTGCCAAAAGCCGGGGTTCCAGTAGGACTGCAGCTCCTCCTCTTCCTCGTCTGCGATGCATGCGTCACGACACCCTCGCTGCTAACTGCCACTAGCGCTCTGTCCATTTCTTCGTGTGAGAGCTTGTTTTGGGGCCGTCCGTCCTTGGAGCCTTATTCCGCAATGGGCAGTGACCAATCCCAGCGATTGAAACTCGATGCCTCGCCGCTGAGGCTGGGAAACGGAACATTGACGAGACTCTATATCTTAGGCATGGAGCTTAAGCTTGGCTTGATTGACGGTGGCTGCTGAGCTAAGGTGGCGAAGGCTTATTAGACTCAAAGATGGTGCTTTGTCTCCCTCAGCCAAGGGTAGCCGCAGCGACCAAGTCCTGGCGGTGGCCCGTCAATTGTCGATGGATCGTATTTGATTCTCTCAACTGCTTCATCTTCTGTTTGCTTTAGGTTTTTGGGGCACAATTTCCAGCCGCACCTCCAAAGTTTCCCCGCCCCTCCAGTGGGAAGATCCAGGCCAAGAATGCCAGGATCAGGTTAGTTCTGCTAGCTTTGTAGACGCCTTTAGTGGCCTGCTAGAGCTGCCAGGATCCTCCCAAGCAACGCAGGCACGGCAAGACGCGAATGTACCCGCTGGTACTCTGCTACAGTACTACTAATAGTAGTAGTTTCGCTAATGCAGGTCACTGGAAGGGGCCGGACAGTCGTCAGATTGGCCCTGTTGTACGGCGGTAGTATGCATTGTATAAGCTGTATATCGATATGTAAGGAAGAGAGGTGGAATTTGTGGATGAAAATGTGTATAGGAGTAGGTATTTGTCATGACAAAAATGAGCGGCATGTTATTGGTAAGTCGAAACTGCCATTGTATAAGCTGAATAAAGAGATTGGCCAGGTACCTAGGTATCATCAGCAACATATCGAGACAGCATGGCTGCCGGCAGGGCAGCATAGAGAGACCCTCCATGGCCTGCGTGTGCCAGACTCTGGCCAAGCGAAGGATGACACCGAGCAAAGAGACGGCTATCTGGCTTGAGGGCGAAAAGAGTCCATACAATAGCGACTGATCTTTATACGTCGTTGTGAGTCAATGGCACTTTTACTTCTGCCACGGCGTTGAAGAATTGAGTCGACATGAACAGGCTAGGGCCATGACAGATCTGGATGGACGGATATCGCTGGCTGGGAGTACCGCAGCCCTAATCCGAGCTACACAAAGGTACATGTGCAGGTACTTTGCCGTACATGAAGTCTTGCCTGCATCCACCATTGAATGCAGCAACATCGCAGCCTTTGCAGAGTCCACCGCAGTTACAGGTACGAGGCGCCCCTCAGCCAAAAGGGGGCCGGCAGGGTCTTCATAAGACGCAGCAAATTACTGCAACCTTGGTACGGAGTCTTGTCTGCTCCGTACCTTGTCTTGGCTCTGCGCCTGCTCGTAACAGCCAGTGCGTTCCTGGGGCTGAGGTGGTAGCAAAGCAGAACAACCGCTAAAATAACCCTCGAGACGACAGTGGTATTGCCCTAAATAGGCTATAGCGGCAGCTTCAGGTCACCTAAATGTGACTGCTCGCCTCCATCAGCAGTCGGGGGTGCCGGCCGGCATCGACGATGCGAGCCAGGATCGAGCGTTTTTCTAGGGCAGCGCGGAAAGAAAATCTCTGCAAAGCATTGTACCTGCTACCTACCTACCTGGGTAAGAGGTATTGGTTGCAGTTATTATTGACCATGCAGCGTTGAATATCAAGCCGTCCATCGTAAAAATACTGCAATGAGCTTTGGGACGAGGATGCTCTGTGGTTAGATGTCGATCATTACGGAGCGAGAAGCTGGTCCCGTGCTCATGGCGAATCAACTTACACCCAGCCCAGACGCAAGCCATGCAGCATGGCGCTATTAGTAACCGCTGTCTAAGACGAGAGCAAGGGGTGGGATTGCTGGATGCCCTGTCGATATTATCGGGGAGTGCAAAGTACTACTGCCAAGTACAGGTAGTGATGGCAAGCAGCCTTCAGAACGAAACAAGGCGAGCATCTGTTTGTTTCTTCTAGTTTTCTGGTTAGCAAAGTAGAATGGCAAACAATAGAAATTGAGACGAATGCATCCCCCCCTTTTCTCCCTGTGGCGAGGTGCTGGATTACGTATATTATTGAGAATTCGAGATTATAAGCAGCGATCATCCGAAGGCCCATATAATTGAGCCTCCAAAGCGCGAGATCTTTAATTTCCGCTTGTAATAAATGAGCAAGTACTACCAGTATTACCTATACCTGCAGCATGGCCTTTACAGGAGGAAAGGACGCAGCACTGTCCGGCATTTAGATATTCCAGCTCGGAACCCAAACCAGGAGAGAAAGAAAAGAAAATGGAAAAAACAATCTCTTGTTTCACTCTTCTGTTTGACAGGCCTGATGCCGACTTTGCTCTCATCTCATCACATCACACCACATGCACGACATCCCGCACGCCCGTCTCCTCACTGTGAGATGCAAACTAATGCCTCCTCTTTTTTTCCAGTCCATGGCGCCGCAGCCTCTGTTGCAGCCCCGGTTCCACGGCCACCTCGGGCCGCCACCTGGCCCAGCCCACCTGGAGTTTGCTCTGGGTCCCATGGTCATCTCGAGGACTTCATGGATAGCTGCGGGAAATCCTGGCGGGCACTCGAAGCTCGGAGGACACTGGCTGGTCTGGACGGTGGTCGACTCTCGATGCCAGCAAATAAAGCACCATGTCCCTGATTGGCTCTCTAGCCGTATCGCTAGCCGTACTTTGCCTTCAGCCATCAATGCTGCCAGATGCTCGCCTTGGCTTGGATGGGCTTCCATCCCTGATCTCGTCTGCCGACACCACCTCCACCATCATCCGACGAGCTGCTTGCGCGCCCGTGCTCTGTTTCTGCTTCTGCTGCTCATGCAAGGCGAGTGCCAGATGGATGAGCCAACCCATGGAGAATCCACCTCCCATCCATCCACATCGACCCTTGTTAGCCTGCTTGGCTTTGCTATCCGTGTTAGCGCCATGAATCAATCCTCTTCTCTTGACGACAAAGGAGGGGGCCCAAGCCGAGGAGACAGGGAAAAGCATATTTGCAGCCAGCTCCTCTTTCAAGCCTCCGCAGACGCCTCATCACCTTGCCAGCCGGCGTTGTATGCGCTTCCCCTCTCGCTGCTCGTTCGACCTCCACACTTCCAGCCGCGGCCAGCCTATCCGGATCACCCTAGACCGGTAATTCGTTTTAGTTCACACACGGTATGGCGAGGTATTGGGTTTTATTCTGGAGCTTCTGCTCTCCTAATTTAACCTGCTTGCCGCAAGTGGTAGCGGCTTCGTACCCAGGTCCTTCGATCTCTCCATCCGCTGTACTGTAGCTCAGTGCCTCTTGAGTGTACTTGACTTGGCACCAGCCATGCGCACGTCTGGCATCTGGCGGTGCTCAGAGCCATCGCTCTTGTCTCAAGCACTGAACCATCACATCTTGTCGTGCGGAGTACTGGTCTATAATATGCAGTAAATGCCCACTCAGGTCAGGCAACAATATCACAAGCACAGCTACAGTCCACAGAAAAACTGTACGTGCGTTGATACATGCAAAGCCCACTCACCAACTCCTCTCCCTGCATCTGCCGCAAGCCCCCTCGTGCAGCAAATGCGACGGTACCTGGCAGTTCGTAACTGCTCCAGCGCTGTCTGCTCCGTGCGTCTGGCGGCGCCCAGGGGACCCCAGCGCCTAAATCTCCCCTCTGCATAGCGCTCTGCACAGCGCTCTGCAGCGGCGCTGGGCCCGCCTCGTTAGCGCTACAAGCTGCTATTGAGCTGGTACTTCGGGGTACTCCGGACCCCCATAAAGTTAGCACGCCGGCCGTCCTCGTCTACGCCACTTACTGCCCTGGCGCTCAGGCCTGGGGGCGCTCTCTCTCCACCTTTTTGAAAACGTCGACCGCACGACACCTGCGCCGGCCTTCTGTCGCGAGCCTCTCGACCTCTTCCACCCCACCTGCGCCGAACCGCGACGTCTTCGACTTCAAATCGACTCAGCCGAACTGACTTAAACCTCGGGTCTGTTCCTGTTCCTGATCCTGCTTCCGTCCAGCCGCTGCCGGGTTCCAGCTCTCTGCCCTTCACCATCGCCGCTCTCGTCCATCGCACCGCAGCATCGCTCGATCCGCGTCCTTGGCGATCGACTCAGCCTGTACCATCCCGCTCTACCTCGTCTCTCCCCTGGCCGCAGCGCCTTGCTAAGCTGCTGCTGCTGCTCCAGCTCCTGCACTGGCGTCGTGCGTTGTCAGCATTCGCTGTGCTTGGATTGGCGAGTCCCTGGGCCTCTAACAGGAGAATCATGGGCCTCGACTAGCACAAGGTGCTTCTCCAGCTCTAGCAACACCATTGCCTTTCCGTCGTCTGCGGTCGTCGCTCGCCATTTCCCGCGGCTGTGGATGAGGACGGAGCATTATCTCGCCTTGGTCCCATCCTCTCTCCTTACAGCCTAAACCCCTGCCTCTCTTGTCCTCTTTCTGCTTTGGTCTCGTCTGCTTTTCTCTCTCTCGCGCTCTCTCTCTCTCTCTCGTCCTCTCTCTCTTTTTCGGGTTCTGGATTAGACGCGCCGGCTTAGACGTTATACTTTCCGATATTGTCCTTCTTCTCCCGCCTTTCTTGTTTCACTTTAATCATCCGAATCGCCCAACTGCATTTTGCGGCACCCAACCATCACCACCCAAAATCACCACCACCACCACTACCACCATTGCCGCTCGAGATCGCCGACACACGCTTCTTTCGCCACTTCCAAAAAAACCTTCGTCAGCCTATCGCGTCTCGTCCAGTCACTTTCGTCTATTATTTCTATCGCTTAGACTTCTTTTTTTCTTCCATTTGATTCCCCACATAGACCGTACCTGACATTTTGTGACTGGTAAGTGGAATCCTCTTTGAACCTCTGCTCAACTGGCCTTGATGCAGTCCCGACGCTTTCTCTCTCTATCTCTCTCTCTCTCTCTCTCTCCACACACATTGTGCATTGGAGCGATTTAGGCCGCAGCGAAAGACTTCTCGATCGGATCGGGGATATCTTGTTATATCTGCAAGAGTTGGGTTTAACATGGTCTGCATAGATGTGCTAACTATCAAATAGCTTTGTCTTATTCTATTCAGATCTATTCTTCTACAACGTCAATCCGTTTTCTGAATCCTCAACCTATCAAATCGCATCCTCCTCAGATCTATATTCAATCCGCTCGCATTTTTCGCTCGAAAGATCTCTCACGTCGAACCCACCCCGGGCGATCATCTGATTCTTTTGGCTCTGCCTTATCATCCGGCACCAAACTACCTTCCGCTAGTATCGATTTCTCGAATCCTCTACCACTTGCGCACAAGCACGCACGCACGCACGCAGAAAACAAATCGCGGCTCGGATTGAATACATTCGCTCCTGCAACCAATTAGCGTTATCCTCATCGACCGATCATGAGTTCAGGCTCCGCTAAGAACGGATCATCGTCGAGGTTGACTCAGGTGCCGTCCAACCAGTCTCTGCTGTTGGAGAAAGTGAATGCTAGGACGTCGACCCCGGACTCCGAAGCGCTGGCCAGCTCTGAAGACGAAGGAGACCACCGCCACGAAACCTCTCAAACCCTTGTACAGCCCGCCAAGCCTGTCCGCCGAGCTTCTTGGTTGAACGATACATCTGCACCTCTTAGCCGACCTCGCAAGGGGTCATTTGCGAGCAACTCAATGTCTCCAACTACATCACACCCCAGCACTCCATCTATTGAAACTGGAGCGGGGACCTGGGGATCTCATTCCACTTCCTCAACAATGGGTCGCACGCCAGGGTCCAACTTTCATTGGGGAACTGGTATCTGGAATAATCCAGACCGCAAAGACCCGCCGTTGAGACTCAGCGAGGTTCTTCCGTCTCCCACCTCAACTGTACCTCCTGGAGCTGGAAACAACTCTTTCTTTGGCCCAGATTCTTCGAGCCTAACACCAAATTCCGCAGCCGCGCGTGAGCCAGGCACCAATTCGCAGATTCCTTTCCCCATTCCACTCCATCCCACGCCAAAAACCTACCGCTCGCAGTCGTATTCTGCTGGGCAGCTGGATCCTGAAATGTCACCAAGCACTGGAATGGGCTCCTCCACCGTCATAGGTCGAGCTCGTTATCCTGCTCTTCAACATCGGCCTTCACGCCCCAGCATGCTGAGCGAGATGTCGAGCGACAACATGTTGGGAAAAGTCAAAGAAGTGGAAGACGACGACGACGAAAACTCATCTGAATCCCTCCAAGGCTCTTTCCACCAGAGCGCTGAAGCTAAAGCTATCGAGATGCTTGCGCGAGAGAATGCCATGCTTAGGCAGCAACAACAGGCTCAACAGCAACAGCAGTACGGTTCAAGGATTCGACAACGAGGTGCTCCCGGTTCTTATCATGGCAACGGATATCCCCTTCGAGAGTATGTTCCAGAAGAAGCGGATTATGCCATTGATGAGCTTGACGAAACAAACGACGGTGAGGGCATGGGCAGGCGGCCTGCTGATAGGAGAATGAGCGAGTTTGGCATGTCAGGCCCATACCGCAATCCCATGGGCTTTGATGGACGGAAAGAGATTTCCAACTTGAAGAAGGCCCTTTGGTCTAGCTCTCCAAGTTACTTTGCAAATGATCTTTCCCAGAGTAGACGCCACTCCTTTGCCAATATGCCCACACGACAGGGATCCATCAGCTCGATTGCCGATTCCGTTGCTACACTGGAGGCCCCAAATCCTGATCTCCAGATGAACCAGGGCTATCCGTCCGGCTATCCAGACAGCTCAGCTTTTGGAGGCGCGAGTAATCGTAAGCTTTCTTTGGACCAGGTCAAGCCCAAGCTACGTGTACACAGAGACGCTAACAGATTCTCAACAGCTAACTTCTTCCCCGGAGGCGGTAACATGGCGGGTTCTATGCCGTCGGGATTCACCAATCCATTCGCTTCCCCATTTGGAATGCACGGTCAATTTTCTGCTAATCGCCCGCCGTCTCCTCATCGTAACGTGTACAGTGTGGGCCAACCAAGGCACAATCAGCTTTTACACGTCGTCCTATTCAAGTGTGCCAGAGCAGACGTATTCTACATCCAAGAAGGCACTGGGCTTACCGTCAAGCCTGGAGACCTTGTCATTGTCGAGGCTGATCGAGGCACCGACCTAGGAACCGTTGCACGAGACAACGTCGACTGGCAAACGGCCAAGGAGCTCAAAGAACATTATGCAGAGGAGCAATACAAATGGTTAATGATGTATTCCCAAAATGCGGCTGCCGCACAGGAAGGTTCAGGTGCCGGCCTCTTGGCTTCGTCCAATGGCCTCCAGGGCAGCGCAATTGGCGGTATGGGTCCACCAAATCAACACCATATGCAAGAGCCCAGTGCTGGCGAGCTTCGCCCCAAGCTCATCAAGCGTCTCGCCCAGAACCACGAGATTCATTCTCTACGCGACAAGGAAGGCCAGGAGGCCAAGGCAAAGAGAGTATGCATGCAAAAGGTCAAGGAACACGGCCTAAACATGGAGATTCTCGACGCTGAGTTCCAAATGTAAGCTGATACATATCTTCATGATAAAGCAATGCCACATGATGCTAACCAGATTATTTAGGGACTGGAAGAAATTGACCTTTTACTACTTTGCTGATTCCTACATCAACTTCAACTCACTTGTCACGGACCTCTTCAAGATTTACAAGACTCGCATCTGGATGTCCGCTATCAACCCGGCATCATTTGCCAGCCCTACCTTGGGGATCCAAGCGCCGAGCGGGGTTGGACCTGGTGCCGTTGGTGTTGGTCGCGGAGCAAATCCAAATGAACGTCGCCCGAACCAAGTCTCGCAACAGGAACAGCAATCACAGCTTTTCGCTGGCGCTGCACAACAAGCTCGGGGGCTGCGATCTGGCTATCCCCAGTCTCAATTGGGCACAGATAGGCCGGCTCCTGCGGCCACTGGATTTCCGCCTCCCAACTACGCATATGGATCTGCAGGTGCTTTTGGGAATGCTCGAATGAATAATGGCGGCGCATACACCTTGGGCGTGAACCAGGGCGCCGATGCCTTTGCCGGTGCTGGGTTCCCACACTCGGGCGATCTCCAGTCAATTCACCAGCGATTTCCTACCTCTCAAACCATGACACCCCCTGGGCAGCAACCCCAGGGCGTGAATGCAATGTCACCTCCTGGCGACTGGACAGCCAGTTTCCAAGGTCTATCACTCAACACTCACTAAATTTTTGGACGGCAACATTTGGACGACTTATAGCATGATTAGACTACAACGCTCGTTTTCCCTTACTGCGCGCTGATTGCCATATTCTAAAGGATATTCAACGATAATGAAAGAATAAAAGAAGACAAAATATTTTTTTTTTCTCTGCAATATGCCTATTCATCAGCTTTATTACTTCTGACGGCGGGTGGCGATGGCTCAATATGCACATCAGGAGAGCGAAAATCGCGGTTTCCTTTTTTTGTCTTGGAGAGGGAAGCCTGCCACGCCATTTCTCTCATTATTCCAACATGAGCCCCCCTCGCGACTGTCGTTACATCTGGAGATCATTTTTTGCTATATACTACATACATTTACATACATATTATCCCTCTATAACCTTGGTATGGATTACGGATTTGGCTACTGGGCATGCGAGATCAAAGACTGGAGAATGGGTATGGTTTTGCTTTCGCTTCCATTGGCTGAGAATATAGACAGAGAGACCTGAGTTTACGCAATGCATGCTGTAACTAATACACAATCAAAAAAAGGGAACGGATTGGGTATGGCTAATGTCATGTACGACAAGAGTTTTTTTATTCTTTTCCTTTACTTTACTTCTCTCGACAAACTTTCTTATTATTTTACTTTACAAATTTGGACCGCATTAGTATTTGCTTTTCTCAAAGATTAAGGATAATTCATTTTTATAAACAGGGTATTATTTTTGGCCTTGAATTGACGTTTTGACTTCACCATCTGGGAATCCGGGACGCTACGTGATATGCTGCTGCAACCCGAGGCGAAAATGGCAGCGAAAATGGCCAATACTGATTGCTACCCTAAAACTACTTTTCTCTTTTGTTCGCCCCCAGCAGTTTATGTACACATCAACAAATAAAGTGCACCACGAGCGATGTTTTTTTGTTATGCGTCTTGGGTTTCGTTTTGTTTTAGGGGAGCACGTGCATAGATGTACCTTCCGCTGTGCGAGGGCATCTTCTTCGATAAGGGGAAGGTGCGAGGTGGCCGCTGGCGGCACTCCGTATTCCCCAATCTCATTTTTGCAACAGCTCCTCCTCCTCCTCCTCTTGTGTCTCGCAGCCCTTTGAACATTTTCTCTCTCGAATAATGCTTATATATAGTGCATCTTTGTTTCTTATTTTCAGGTGCTGGCCGACAACCTTCTAGATCTTGTACCCTACATTGTTTCGTCCTTTATCGAGATGCCAGCCAGAACACGAAAGAGAAAGGCTTCAGAAGAGGGTAAGAGGCTGATGACTCAAATAATGCCGCTTGATGCTTGTGCCCTAAGCTAACTGATGATTCTAGACGATGCGACGCCTGAAGTTATTCCTGCAGCGAACAAGACATCGAGAACGTCGAAGAGGTCTTCGAAGACCAAAACATCCTCAAGGAATGGACGATCGAGGGCTACGTAAGATCAGTTACTAATGTGCTTGTGAAGCTGGATTTGATGCTAATTGATGCAAGTGAAAACCCGGATCCTGTGAGAGTGTCGAAAAGCAGCAAGTCAACAACTGCCACTGTGTCAAATGCAAAGAGAGACATTCGGAGAAAAGCAGACGAGCTGCTTTATCGAATAGAAACAAGGTATGATAACCTTTGAGAGTCTTTTCTTCTTGTACTTGTCTCAGAAGTGCCAACGAGGAATTGTCTTGCAGAGTTGAAGACGGGCCCAGTAATCTTGGATCTGGTCCTACTGCCACTGAATCGAAGACGACACCTCACCAGAAAGATGTGATCGACTTGGAGCATGATTCAATCAGACAAAGTTCCAATGCCATATATCGACAATCATATGAGCATCTACAAGGCCTACAAGAGACTATAGAAGATTATAGGCGATTAAATAATGCAAAGGCCAATCTGACAAAGCCCACTGAGGTTGAGCAGTGGAATCACGACTCTACGAATATAGCACAAGTAAATAAGAGAGCCTTGGAAATCGCAATTGATGGATTACATGGTAACGTGCTTGGTGAGAAGAATGCGAATTTCCATCGTTCGCCAGCACCTTCAGCCGACGACGAAGTTGACCAAGCTGCAAAGAGATGGCTTCAGGCTGGGGTCCCGATAAGGGAAGATACCTGGGGAGACGCAGCAAGAGAAGTGCTCAGTGTGTTATCCGGGATTGCTAAGATTTTGTCGTGATGTATATATCTTGATGATATCAATATACGCCTACTGGCTTGATAGCATTCAACATTGCCCAGCGTCTCTTGTACTTGATCTCGAAAGGACCTAACCTCTGTATCCCCACTTATCTCGTAGATCGCCTGCAGCGAGATCGTTTCGTCCATCTAGCTGACTCAGCAATTCCCCACCCATCTTTTTTTCCCACCAAAAAAGCCCACGAGGGCTCTGAGGGGCAAGTCCTATCACGCTAGAGCCATGATGGGATTAGCTCGTCGCTTAACCCACAAACAGGCCCTTGAATTTTGATTATCGCTTTTGGGTTTTGCAGCCTTCTCCTCCGAAATTTCGACATCCTCTTGATCCAACCTCGTTCAACTAACCCTCGGCAGGAAATTTTCTGACCTCAAGCCGGTATGTCCTCCGCGTCCCATTCATCTCTATTCCAATTCATCTTCTTCCATTGAGGAGTGAATTAGCAAACCGTTTTTTGTTAAGCTAACGTTTGCTGTCGTTGTTGTCGCCCTCGAATAGCAAAAATGGGTGCCCTCAAGTATGTCGAAGAGCTCCAGAAGAAGAAGCAGTCCGACCTGGTCCGCTTCCTTCTCCGTGTGCGCTGCTGGGAAGTACGTTACCACTCCGAATGAATTACACCTACCGCAAACAAAACATCCCGAGACGAAAAGAATATATGAAAAAATTTCAATACGTTCTCTGTGGACGGGGCCGGATGAGGTCGAGGCAGTGGGAATTTGAAACTTTTTTTCAATGACCTAGATTTTTCTTCTTCTACACTCTCTTTCTTCTCTCTTCTGTGGCTGCCTCCATCTTTTGGACGGAGGGCTTGTGTGTGTGTGATGGAGAAATTCATCTTTTTCTCGTTCTCACATGCTGCTTCCCTTTTCTTTGCCTGTAAAATGGCAAAAGAAGACAACGGACAGAGAGAAGCAAAGATTGAGAACATGAAGAACTATCTATGTCTGATTGAGTTTTAACCTCGCTTCCAACTGTCGACATCTACATCCCCCCTTTGTCTTTGCTATACACTCGTTGAACATTTGCTGAGAGTGCATTAATATAGTACCGTCAACTGAACGTTATCCACCGCGCCTCCCGCCCTTCGCGCCCCGACAAGGCTCGCCGTCTGGGCTACAAGGCCAAGCAGGGCTACGTTATCTACCGTGTCCGCGTCCGCCGTGGTGGCCGCAAGCGCCCTGCCCCCAAGGGTGCCACCTATGGTACGTTGCTACGAGAAAAATTTTTTTGCTCTTCCAGAAGAGGAAGAAGCAGAAGAATCTGGGTTTTTTTTTACTGACGAGTTTCTGAACAACAACAGGCAAGCCCACCAACCAGGGTATCAACCAGCTCAAGTACCAGCGCTCCCTCAAGGCCACCGCCGAGGAGCGTGTCGGTCGCCGCTGCGCTAACCTGCGCGTCCTGAACTCCTACTGGGTTAACCAGGACTCTACCTACAAGTACTACGAGGTCATCCTCGTCGACCCTAGCCACAAGGCCATCCGCATCGACCCCCGCATCAACTGGATCGTCAACCCCGTCCACAAGCACCGCGAGGCTCGTGGCCTCACCGCCACCGGCAAGCGCTCCCGTGGTCTCAACAAGGGCCACCGCTACAACAAGACCACCGCCGGCCGCAGAAAGACCTGGAAGAGACACAACACCCTGTCCCTGTGGCGCTACAGGTAAACGCTCTCTGCTGGAAAGCGGAAGCGTTGACGACTGGGGTGGCTTCTTTGCGGTGGCTGCAATCCTGGATATCATCCTTCTTCCAGGAGTGCTTTCTTCGCGAGAAGCTTCTTTGGCTGTCTTCGGTCTTCTTTTTTTTTTTTTATACTGTGACAGCAGAAGTGTATTTTGCGGGCAGGAAAGAAAAAAAAATATCATGGAGGTAGCCTGGAAAGATCGGAGTTTAAAAACAAACAAAAGGCCAAAAAGGACGCTACTTTTCTTCCTTGGTAGTTCATTTAACAATGGAAATGGCATGAACACTTTTCCGATGATTAATATTTCGGAAATGCGATGATATCTCTCTTATTTTTCTTTTTTTCAAAAAAAATTTCCTATGTAGAAAGCAATTGTGACTTTTCACTCTTCCAACATCTTGCCCCTGTGTGTTGTCTGTCCCCTTTTAAGCTGTCAGTGTGTTTCCCTACGTAAGATACAAAGTATTTGCTCATTTTCTACGTAAAAGGCAATTGTGGCTTTTCACTCTTCAACATCTCCTGCCATTATCTGTTGTTCCCTTATTCATTATGATATCCTCCCTTTTTAACCTTGAAAAGTAAATCACAATACACGTCACACACTTAGAGGAGAAAACGTCATATGCAGTGCCCAATCCACTTCAATTGATATATAGCAAAACGATTTCTTGTCTCTAAATACAATCCAGAAAGCAATGAGCATTTGTCTCGTTACGACCCCTGCACGCAAAATCCCCAAAGCATGCCAGCCTCGATCCAGAAGAAAGCTTGTCTTATCTTACTCCCTCCATCATCGTGAAATCGAACTCCCCCAAGTGAAAAAACCCGAATTCAAATGGCTCCAATTTTGTCCGTCTCTCTGTCTCCATTCTCTGTCTCCCTCTCTCTCAAAAAAAACATAATACAAGCCGCGCGCAAACTGCAGGCAATTTTTTGCAGAAACGTGAGGGGGAAAAAAGGCAAAAGGGAAAAAGGCAAAGGCAAAGGAAGAAGAGAGCGAGCCCACCACATCCAGCTACCTAAGCTTGTGCATCGGCGGCATTACCAGTTCCTTAAGTCCCAGCCAAAATCCAGCCGTTGCATAAAGTCTGAATTTCCTCCACTGGTCTTGTAAAGATCCAATGTTTAGATACCATTGTCACTTAATTGAACAATCCAACAATCTCCAAGCGAACTGGGAAGTTGATCCATTCAACAAACCAGATACATAACCCCAATGAAAATCCAGCAGCTTTCCAAAGAGGCATCCGGATCACAAAATCCAACGTATGCCGCTGTAATGGCTGTCTGCAGTGGTAAATGAAAGAATAAAAAGAAACCTATTCCATGTGGCAAAGCTGAAAACTGAGGAGAGAAAAACACATCAAATGACAATAGAAGAATGGAAAGAGAAGAAGAAGAAGACGAAAGGAAATCAAAAAGAAAAAGAAAAAGGTAAAATTCCATCGCCGGAACCAATACCGGGAGCGCGGCAACGATCAAAAGACACAAGTATAGACGAAGACTTGGACTAGCTCGCCTGTGTATGTGTTCTCGAATCGTATGCAAACAGCCCCGAGTACCGATAGCGCAAACTGAGAAAGGATTCTCGAACCGAACCGCGTTCATTCTTTCGTAATATACATGCAAAACACTCCTATAATGCTGTGCTGCTCAAATACCAAGCAGACCGTTCTTGAAGGAATATCGCGTTCTGGTTGCGGAGCTAATGAGACAGAAAAAGAAAGAAATCGAAAATGGAATTAGAAGTGTCATCATAGTGGCAGTGTTACCACCGTGCCGCGTAAAGTCGTTTTCCACCGAAATCCCATAGGCGGATAACGAATAACGTAAAAGCACAGGCGGCTGAAGTGGCATTATACACGCAAAATCATCGAAATAGACGAAATTTCAATTAGTTTACACCCAGTATGTCTCACCACCATCCACCGAAGAAGGGTTAGCAGAGGCGCCCTGGCTATATCTTTGAATGAATGGGGGAGGCTGGACAGAGCCATTCGAACTGGAGGTTGTCGAGGATGCTGGCATCGAGGTACTGCTGGTGAATGGAGGAGGCACCTGCTGGCGCGTGCCCTGGCTTCCAATACTAGAGGCCGACGTCCCGTTGGTGTTGACACTGGCATTAGGGCCAATAGGGGGGAGCACTCCAGGACCAGAAATTCCTCGGTTGTGACTAGGACGCAGTGGAATTTGGCCACCCGTATTGTCAGAAGGAGTGACTTGTCCACTCGAGGCAGCGCTTCCGCGATTGTCATAAGCGGCAATCTTCGCTTGGATACGGCGTCCATGTGGAGTCGTACGAATCTGTGGAAGAATAGGTCGGATAGCCTCAACAAGACGGTATTTCTGATGAGGAGTGGAAAATTCGAGAGCTGTCTGTATGACATAATTGGCGAATGAATCGCGAAGAAGGCGCTCCATCTCGGGCTGAGACAGTAGCTCTTCCACGATCATGTCTTTCGAAGGAGCTTGAGCACAGCGCAGGCACTTCTCAATAACATTAGAGCTAAATTTGTGGCGGGAGAGCTGGGCGATGCAGCCTTGGAACATGCCAACAATGGGCTCAGTGAAGGTGGGTTCATTGAGATCAATGATGTATTGGACAACGTAGTTCCCAAATGGATCTTGAACCAGTATGCGCGCATGCTCAGTGATGCGTTGGATCAGCCAGAGCTTTTGCTCGCCCGTTGCGTGGTCGATGCAGCGCTGAAGCACACAGCAGCCATGCCTGTGGGTGCCAACTTCAACACACTTGTCCCCGTTGCCGACAGCATCGAAAATGAACTGGGCGTCAGTAGCAGTGAGCTTGTTAAGACACTTCTGGATGACGTGGTTGCCGTTCAGATCCTTGATGAGCTTCACAACTCGATTGCGGAGAGCCTCGATAATGAGATGGATTTGTTGAGGAGTACTGACGTACTCAATCATCTTCTGTAGGGCTCTCGTCCCGTGCTGGTTCAGAGCGATGTCCTCCATTCTCTGGGATGCGTTCTGGATTAAAACAGTTCTTTCGTCGTCATTGCAGAACTCGAGGAGCTTTTGGCACAAATAATTACCAAACGGATCCGTCATGAGCTCTATGACATGCTGATTGGTCTCGAGCCAAATCATGTGAACCTGATCGCTATTGCGTTCTTCCAGCTTCTTTTGGAGGTAGCGGCAGCCGTGCTGATCTTTGCACAACTCATAAATCTGGCCCCGAAACGAATCCAGTGGCATATTATGATACCGAGACATTGCTGCAAAAAAGAAAAGAAGAAAAAAAGTCAGATAAAGGAGGAAGAGGAAAAAAAGGAGATGATTGTTTGCTACTCACTTTCGTTATCTAGCTGTCGACGATGCTGAATAACGCGAGCCTGGCTGTCGCGATGCTGATTGCCCTGGCCGTAGGATGCATTACCGTAGGGAAGATAATTCTGCGACGTGTATGCGCCGCTGCCGTTGGTCCCGCCATTGGTCCCGTTAATGTTCATTTGCTGCATCCCGGCAGAGAGCGAATGAGCACCATACGCAGGGCTTGAAGTAGAACTCGGGGTTGGAAAGCTATTTGTCGGGTAGAAGTTGGTATTGTACGAACTCGTCGACGCCGCACTGCCAGGAGAAGTCACAGATGCGGCGGCATGAGGAGTGGCAGGTTGAGGTGCCACGGATGCCATTGTTGGCCCAAACGGAGCAGCGCTAGCTTGAAGGGCTGAGTTGATGGACGGGAAGACGCCAGCCTGCTCTCGAGTAGCACTGATGTTATTATCGTTGGACAACTCGCGAGCATGTCGAACTGGTAGTGCTCCAGCAGGAATGCGACCGATGCTCGCATTATGATTATGAAAGTGCTGCTGAGCGTGGTTGTTTGCGCCACCGTTTAACATGGAGGCCCCTGCAGGGTTCTTGACAGTAGGGATGTCGTTGGCAGAATAAGAGCTGTGGAGCTTAGGAGGTGGTTGGACTGCTTGAGAAGCGCCAGCAGTCTCATTCGAATTCTCTGAGATGTACTTGAGATCCAGAGAGTGCCGAAAGGATGCAGGGCGACTTCCAATGTTGCCTGTGTCGCCAGTTTGGCTAATGGAGTGCCCATTAATAGCAGACATGCTGTTCTGGGTACGATGTCGGGCTACGTTGGTTCTCCAATGGCTGGAAGATCGCGCTTCAGGGTTGGGCGATGGTGCCAGAGCAAGGTCGAGGGCGGCTGATGACGCCGATAGCTAAGAGAGGATCGCGAAATTAGCAAATTTGAAAATCACTGATCACAAGAATCAGGCTGAGAAAGGGGCAGATCAAAAAGAAGTGTGGAAAGTAGAGTGTGGAACACGTAGAAGTGAGTGATGGAAGAGGGAAGAAGATGAGAGAGAGGGGGAAAAAAGGAGAAGAGGGGAAGAAGAAGAAGAAGAGGAAGAGGAGGAGAAGGGAGAAGGAAAGAAGAGGTGCAAAGGCAAACGCGTCCTGGGGATAGGGGAGAGAGAGAGGTGTGCTGCCTGCTGCCAGCTGCCAAGCGTCCGTCATCCAATATGGCAGCCCCCCTGAAGGCGACAATATTGGGACAATAGGAGAAGAAGCTACTATTATGCGCTAAACGCAGCTCCCCAAAAGTTTACCCAACGTCTGAACTTGAAAGATATCAGAAAAGGAAAAAAAAGGAATGAATACTCACGAATTGGTCGTCACGACGAACAAGCGTGGGGAAGCTCTCGTCAGCAGCGTAGCCGGATGTCAGGTGGTGTGGTTCGTCGTCGCCAAACAAAAAGCGCGTTGTGTTTGTCTGATCAAGATTCATATCGTAAAATCCAGTTCTTGAGCGAGTGACCGGCATGGAATACCGGTTTATCCTCCTAACATCAAAGATTAGCTATACGATATAGGTCAAGGAGTTGAGCCCTCGAGCCAGCAGAGGCACGCAAGGTGGCGCAAAGTACGCCTGCTCTGCGCAGGAGATGCCTCACGGGTCTGGTTCCTGGCGCCTGGCAACAGTGTTGCGCAGGCATGAACTCAACCCGTGCTCGCACTCGGCCATCAGGCAAGCCGAACCTCACATGCATAAGATACTGGCCCCGCCCATCCCACCTCCTCAAGGCAAACACTTTATGCGCCCACAAAATATCCGGCCGCCAAAGGAGAGGGGATCAACAAACGGCTCTTTCCGCTGTGTACTTACGAGTTTGTCGATCGCTGACTGCTCGGGTCTTGACGAACAGCCTCCTCTTTATCATCATCATCGCTGTTACGGCGCGTAATAGGAACAGACCGCGATGGCACTTGGGCATCGTCAAGCCCGTATGACTGCTGAAGCGAGCCGGCGCCGTGGACAGGAGAGTCCAACAGCGAGCCGGAGCGAACCGGTCGGCCGAATAAGCCCGGGGGAGAAGTTATGCTCGAAGTCGAGAAGCGATTCGGCCGCGAGAAGATGGAAGGAAAGCCGTTGTTGGTGTTTCGATATTCGGGAGGAGTTGTCGGCTCCGACTGGTGCCCGGCGAATCGACTCATCTCTTCTTCCATTCGCACCAATTCCAGCGCCTCTCGCCTCTGTTTCTGATCTAATGCGTGCATCTCAATCTCAAAGAGCCGTCTCTGTTCTCGAATCCTCTCATATTCCAACCGCTTCTTCTCAATCTAAAGAACAGGGAGTCAGTCGAGCTCGCGATTTCAACATATTCAGCCTTTGCCGGTTCCTGGCCCAGGGGCGAAACATGGCATGGGATGGAAGTATTGGATGGAAGGAGTCGTGCTTGGAAGCCATCGATTGTAGGGAGAGCTACATTTACCAATTGGACCTTGTGTAGCGCCTGCGTGGCAGAGAGTCAGCCAATGTCGCACAGGAACAAAACAGAGAGCTAGCTTTGTGGCAGTCCCAGCCTAGCACCGCAAGCAGCGGCGGAAACGTGTCCGCCGCCGGGTTTCCAACAGCGACTTACGTTATTATACTCTTGGGATCCGGTATAGTCTTGAGGTACGTCGGTCCCACGGGGCGGAGAGGCCAGTGAGCTCATTGACGAGAGTGTCGGCACCAGGCCCGAATCGGTGGTGAAGCGGCGAGGTAAGGAGGAACGCAGGTCGTGGCCCGAAGGCTGTTGTAGTTGCTGCTGCTGCCGCTGCTGCTGCTGAGGGATGCGAGCGGCGCCGCGAGAGGGTGAGACAAGCGGGTTGACGGGCGGCTCGTTCCTCGGCGCCTGCTGAGAGCGGAATCGCGAATCTTCCATGCCGAGCAACGAAGGGAAAGCGACAATACTCGTACACGCCGAATTGGCTGCGCTCGGACGGTCTATATAAGCCTAAGTCGCTGCAGACATGAAGCAGAAGGACAAGAGTCAGCACGCCTTGTCGTTGTGGACGAGAATGTTAGGGCCAGGCACAGGAGCCGGCGACGCTGGAGGCGGGGTGGGATAGGGCGAAGGGATTGGACCGTTGACGAGGCAAGGCGATGCTGGTCTGTGGTCGGTGTTGCAGCCACAAGCAAGGATGAGCAAGGATGAGCCGGTGGATGCCCAGATGGTCTGGGCTGGACTGGGGCCAGCGCGCCAGGCAGGGGTCTTTGGGGTGCATCCATCCAGCGTCCAGATGCCGCCGTCGTGCTGCCGCCGTCGCTGGATCAAGCTCGACAGAGACCGCTGGGAGGCCGAGTCGTCATCGGCGGCGCGCTGCCAGCTCAGCATCTCGTTGGTGTTGGGGATTGAGCACGGCGAGGCAGAGCGTGAGGCAGCGGCCAGACGCCCGGACTATATCCAGCTCGCAAGCCAAGGTGACGCCAGGCCGTGGCCGCTAGTGCTGCCGTTGCTCGTATACTGGCACAGGCAGGATGGCAAAACGTGCTCGTGCCCGTGAGCTGGCGATGGTGTCTTGGTTGCACGAAGCACCCCAGAGTCCCCCAGCCTCGACGTTGACCCTTTGCTCAGTCCGTGCCATGGAACAAGAAGCATTGGCGAAGAGAGAGGGAAGCAGGCCAGCAAAGCTCGCGCTGTGACGCAGTCTGGATTTCATCTCGTTGAACCGGTGCCTCGGCCAGCTCATCGCCAAATCCGTCAAATGCCAGAGATGTTATGCTATACCGGCAGTGACCATAGACACGCACCGCGAGCAAAGGCGGATGGAGATGAAGATTGGGAAGCAAAAGCGTGGCTATAATGCAAATAGGGCTGAAGGGCTGATTGACATACGTACCTCACAGTCTGCAGCAAGGTAAATTAGACGGGGCAAGGCGGAACACGGACTCGAATCCAGCAGCTCAGATCGATATTTTTGACGTATTGGACTACAGATGGATGGAGGTCAGACCCCCGGCGAACAGGAGCAGAGGACGGTTGACGACGGCCTCAGATCCGTCGGGAAGGGAAATTGTACAGCGGATAATAGGTACAGGACAGGCGAAAGGAGTGTAGGAAAGCACAAGAAAAGTAACCGGCAGAGGGTCAGCTCCAGTGCCTCACCATGGGCGACGAGACCGTATCATACAAGCACAGAGAGGGATAGAGACGGCGAAGAGGATGAAGAGGAGCGTGGGAGAAGTTGTGTCTGAAGCACAAAACGGGAGAGAAATCATTTCCTGGCATCCTCCCCTTTAGGCAAGCGGCGAAGCGGACCTGGCTACAGTAGCAGACCCAGTGCTAACGGCGCCACGGCGAGCCCTGCGAAAGGTCCCGGAAGAGCCCCGTAAGCCAGTGGCCACCGCGATTTATAACGGTTGGGCTGCGGCGCCAATCAAGAGGTGGCCTCAACTCTATATTATGCCGATGCGGCAGCTGTGTCGCTGCGCTAGATTTTGCACCTGGCCGGAGACTCTGGCAGCAGATTGGCCATTGCGATGCTACGAGGCATCCAGTGCTGTGCTGGGATAGAGAGAGCCATAACAGGCCTTTTATGCCTGCCTGGATAGGTAGGTAAACTGCCTTACTTACTAACATACTACTAGTAGGCATATCGACGGATTACTCGCGTTTGAATACATCAAATGTACCTAGTGCCAGGGACTGCGAGGAGCACCGCTGTGGCACAAACTCAACAGGCACAAGTGGAATTCAATTCGCTCTTCCAGGCGAACAACGTCGTTTAAGGCTAGGCGTTGCTGGTTTCAGGAGAAGTCTGGAGCCGAAGCTGGTATCCATCATTGCTGGAGAGTGTAAGGCACGTGTAATTTGACCGAGTCGAGCGAGTCTTTAGTTTCGGTTAGCACAAAGAGGGAGCTTGACTCGGGACAACTCGTCGTCTTCGCTGTTCGGTGGCGGCTACAGATATGGATAAAGGCAGCCATCACATACATGCAGCTGCAGCCATGCCTGGTAGGCAGCGTCCTGTGTGAGCCTGTCCGGGTGACGAGCGAGACGAGACGCAAGACGCTGCATGCTGCATGTAGCCCGCCCAATGGTTTGCAGCCAAGCGTATGGGTCATGGTTCAGCATGTGCTGTTGGTATGTTCCGTAGGTAAACATCTGCATGGATGAGTTGTTTGCGGAGAGCGTGTTCACTGCATGCTGCATGCTGCTGTGGCACATCAAGGAGGCCGTATCTGATCTGTACCTACTACTACCAACCCAGTAGTACCTCCCTGCGCATCGCCAAGGCAGACAGCAAGCATCAATTGCCTGTGCGAGCGTGCTTGGTAGGTGTCGGTGGATCAATCATCGTCTGATTTCGGATACGGCAATCGATTGAGACTTGATGCAGACTCCAGGCTGGTTCGTATGCCGGCGCGGCGATTTGATGTTAAGTTTGATGCCACGCACGACACCGTAGCGCCGTGGAAGCAAATGAGCTGCTTTCAACGCGGCGACGCAACAAAGGCCACGCATGCTGTACATGCTGTACATCCCGGACATGTAGTGCTACCTGCGTGAAATTGGGGCATCGTGCCATTGCAGCCACCTGCTTGTATGCCGCAGCATTCAAGCCCAACTCTTGGGCTCGCAAACTGTGGGTTGCTCCGGCAGCCAAGATGCCTCTTCGCCTCAGCCCAGACGAGCAGCTGCGGGCACAGCACCGACATGCGCAACGGCCGCCGCAATTGGATGCTCAAGATCCTTGCCGTTTCTTCGGGGTGGGCTTTTCGGAATGGCAAAACCAGAGCCGGAGTCGCATCGGTAGCGGTGGCGAGGGCCGTACTGGACAGGCAATAATGCTAGCCTGAAGGATCACCGTCCTCCTTGGGATCTCCCCGCCTGCCCCTCATTTGCTGGGTGCACAGGCACTAGGTAATGCTCGCAGGTTCCATGTATCAACACCTTGCTTGGATGAGTCGCGTTGGGCACTTGCCAAGGCATAAAGTATCATGATTGTTGAGTGTCTTGCAAGCTAAAGATGAATAGTCTTGACCGAAAGGTTATCGGTGAGCCATACGAGAAAACAAGGCGCCAAGCTTGAGAGAGCTTGTCTGTACCTAAACATTAAGGCCACCTCGTACCTTGGCGGTGGCTCTTGCACTGCGAAACGTCAATGTCTATTGACATAGGGGGAAACTGTAAACAGAAGCAGCCCCCACTAAAATTTATGTTTGTCCCAGCAAACCTACGCGGCAGTCAGTCAAAAACTTCAAGGTGGCAGCGATAGCCGTTGTCTTCCAAGGTACGAATGCAACCCTGCCATCCATCATACTGCCATGCCGTACTCTGTACTTGCATCTCTACCAAAAGCCCGGTCTACGCTCGGTCAATCTCCCCGAAAAGTCGGTGAATCGCCAAGATCTGCCCGGATGTGCTTTTCCGCCAACGATTGCCACTGGAGCGCTGCTCTACCGGCAGAATCTCCTGCAGCGCATCTGCATCTGGGCCAGAGCCGCATGGATACCTACATACCTACTACTAGTAGTAGGTATCTAGGCAGGTAAGAATGCAACAACTCTAATAACTTGAAGCTCCCACCTTTAGGAATGCAGCCGAGTACCTATTCAAAGGTTGCTGATGCTTGATGACTTCCGCATCGTACGCACTAGGCATTCGCTGACCAAGATATTGAACAAGAGGCACGGCTGAACCGAGGGTTCTGCAGAGATTGAACTGGTGAAGACATCACCAGCGGTGCGCTTATGCTACGAGCCGTTAGTTGGAGGCTTCCCTGAGCCATGTGATGTCTGGTATCAGAGCCTCTAAGCCTTTCCGTGAATAGCATCATCATCTTCTTGTCCGAAACTCTCCGCTGGTGTGCTTCTTTTCTTTGATTTCCTCGCTTTTCTTGCTTACAGATGCTGGCTTCCACGCTGACCCGCTAGATCGGATTTGCGCCACTGTCTAATACGACGACTCATACGCCTGACAGACCCATGCGGCCGGCCAAGTTTTGTGTGCTTGCGGGCAACAGAAAATCGGAGACGTCTACTCCGTATTACTCGCTCTCACCTCTCGCCCCTTTAGCAATGACTAGATGACGAATTCCAACCAAGCCCCCCCGATCGATAACTCACACCCATCTCTCGCCGTTTCCCCCAGCAATGGCAACCAAGGGACACCAAACACTCTTGGAAATGTTCATGTTTCACCGGCGGGGTCAGGTCCAGCGGTTGCTGCGGGTAGCCCCGACCTCTGAAACCCAAGCGCCTCTTCCGGACGCTGGAGCTTTGATTCTCGATATGCGAACCAGCCCAGCCCAGCGTGGCTCTAACAAGCCAGGTCCGAATCTAGCTCCCCCACTCGGCTAGCCAACGATCACTGCTCGCGCGCTAAAATGGTGGCAAGGGACGAGGATCCCTGGCCTGAATCTGCGTGGATGGACATGGAAGGTCGCTCGCGAACCCGGGGGGCAGACTTGGATTGCAGATGTGCCAATTCGATTTCAGTGTCTTGGTCAGTCACCCTGTGTCTCTGAGCACCAGCTTTGAGCTGGGTTCCATCTCGGGGATCTGTGATGGGGCTGCTTGCCAGGACACGAGTGTGTACTGTAAGCCGAGATCTTGGCGACAGATGGAGCACCATGTATGTATGTGGTGCATAATTGGAACGTGATGGTAGTGTATGCGCAGCAGAGACAGACACTTGCTCGTCTTACTCATCCCCATGCACCAGAGCTGGAGCCGCGCGCCCATGGGACTTGAGCCAAGCTTCCAAAAGGGCCTTGACGATCTGGAATTACGAGAGACATTCAGTTGGACGTGCGGGGTTGCAGGAAGCAGCTTGACCTCAACTTGTCACCCGGCAGCCTTGAGCTCTCTGGCGGCCGAGATAGCCGCCTTGTGCCTATATGGACCCGCAAGAGGCTGTTTTCGATTTCGTCATCGTTTTATGAGAGCTGAGTGAGCTAGGCTGCATCAAACCTAGAGATGGATTTGCCAGCATCAGCCATTGAGGAGGATGCGTTTTTTTTTTTTTTTAAATTCAGCCCCATGGATTGACGAGCGTCCAGGGCACTCTAGACTACCTGCACGAAGTCTCTATGCCGTTGATATAGCTCATGGTGGCGGCCGACTCTTGCATAATGAGGAGAGCACGACACGAATCCGTATTCTCTGCTCGCCGAGGCGTTGTATCTTGATGTCGAGTAGCGATCCTCAGACAGCACCAGACTTTACATTGCACTAGCTTGTTATAGGCGCGATGATAGTTGGGTGGTGGAGTGGACCTTGCCTGCGGCCAGATGAAGTTTGTGCATGAAGGTTAATTAGAAGAAACGCCATTGCGCATAACAAGAGAGCATTCACAAACGGTAAATCGTATATGGAAGAGAAGAAGTGATATAGACCAAGGTAATTGTTGAGATGATGAAAGAGTAATGGAGCTACTACGGACACCTGCTTTATAGCCCAAATATACGCCATGGCAGAGACTAAGACGCTTGCCCAAGCTTTGATGCTTTCCAGCAGTGGATATTAATAGTCGAATAGAAGCGAAGATGATGACTAGAAGTATCTTGCTCAAATCACATACAAACGCAATATGTGGATCAAGTGGGTGGCAGGATAACGGATTTGCATATTCAACACTAGGCTGATTAAGCGTCGCTTGCGGATTGTGTATCAAAACAATGGCTTATTTACTTTCGGCTTCTATTCCTTAGACTTTTTCCAAGCTCTGGCGAAAGGTTACTTTGGGCAAAGGCGTGTTATATGGAACCATTGAGTCATAAGGACAAGCTCGTTTGTCCTCAAAGTTATTTTTTTCCTGGTGTTCCGGCCTCATTGAGACACCTTTAATTGAGCATTCTAACAGTTTTCGTGTTCAAGTCATGTGCCTTTGATAGAATTTTGGTTTACCACTTCCTCATGACGAATCATGTGTCGACGAATAGTCCAATATATATGTATCCTATATTTGTGGAACTTGCTACCATCTTTCGCATGCCCACCTTTCTGATGTAGGATTGCCGGGAGATTCCTGATGCAACGCCAGCACAAGAATGACAGAGGGTAAAATCGGATAAAGTGACTTCATCAGTTGCAGTGTTCTCCGTTGGGCAAATATCGACTGATGCTATCCTCCAGCATGCATATTAGGCTGCTGGCTACATGATATTCTCGATTTATTCACCTTGTTCTTTACCAAAACGGTCGATATGGAATTTATTAGGCTGCCTATACCAACTTAAACGCAGGTAGAGTTTCAGACTTTTTACAACTTTGTGTAATATTATGTAACTGTCATCTTCCATTTCCCGACTCACTTGACTAACATCTTCATGGTTAAAACGATGATCATAGCGACATTGCAGGCCTGTAGTTTGACAAGCCTTTGCGCTAGATGTTGCACCTTTATCGTTTTGTCATAATTGTGCCTGCATTAAAGATCATTTAATGTAAATAAAAGTCATAGTATCGAATACAGGAGGGATCATCTAACTATTGTAAAGCAGTGGCATGCTGAGTAATAGTAAAAATGGCAAAGTGAAAACTGTCACATCGATTGCGGATGGGAGAGTCTATGTTCTTTGATGCTAACGATTATAATTCGAGGTATGCTTCAAAGTAGCATAGTAAATGACAAATCTTACATCTCACATGCACTTTGACAAAGCCTCCATTTACCGTGGAGAGTATCCGTGGAGAAATCTCATTACCTCGTCGTCCCAAGGGCCCTAGTCTTCCAAAAAGGACTGCTTTGTCCCCCTTTGGCCATATCTATTTGAGTAGCTCTGCCACTTCGTCTCAACAAGGCTTCTTTTGATTTGGAATGGGAGCCGCACCACTTGAGCACCACCTCATGGGTGATATGCGCGAGACGCTGGTGACTGAAGCAAGTCGGCATTCGTCTTGACCATGTGCTGTACGTACGGCACTACTAAAATTCGGCCTCTAGTTGCCAATTGGAGAAGCTTGATGAAAGTAGGCACTTACCATACCTCGAAAGATTTTACCTCTTGCTGTAGCTATCACACTCACTTGAGGATACCACAGTTTGTCGTCGACGTTGTCATTGACAAGAGCTTCAAGAAGACAAAAAGGAAGAAGTTTGAAGTAAGTTCCGAACAAATGGTAGACTATTCTTTACTGATCTAATCCTTAACGGATTGGTGAGGGTACATGCAGTATTCACCTCGGGGTCTAAGCATATTGGGTTTGACACTATTGCGATGGAGTGCTACATACTGGGCGCTGGTGCTGCGTTAGAATCTCTCGTAGAGTTTATATCAATCGCTGGGCAGCTACGCGTCGCTAGCAAACTTCAGAGTCATCGCTGGATGGTTTCACGGACTCTACCGTTAATATTGTAACTTCTAATGAGCTCCATGTATAGTCAATGCCAGTATCATACTGTACCTAGCTATTGCAGGTTTTATAATCTGCCTCCTGGCTCTGAAACAAGTAATAATATCTGGGCTGAGCTTGCCGTTCCTTGTCGGTCTTGTCGGCTGGTTCGAGAAACTTCAAGCTTTTTGTAAACTACAAGATCCGACTCATAGCTGAGCATTTACGGAAATTGGATTGCAGGGTGATATTGTGATGTAGAAGTGTAATGTCTTTTGCAGTTGTATACATGGTTAAGATACATATATGCCTTTATACACTGAGTGATGGATACAATTGTCGCAGTCATCAAGGACAAGATGAAAGTGGAGCACAACTTTGCGTAGTTCTGCCATAATCATTCCGTAGCCGAGATATAAGAGCCAACATGTGTCGAATGACGAAAGACTTATAGCTTCCAATAATACGGGTGTGGCATGCATCTACCATGACCAAATTATCTCACGTCCAGCGAGTTGTGTTTCTGAAGTAAGCATACACCTAGTAGTAATTAAACTTTACAATTCGTCTAATAATCAATTGATTGTTTACTTGTTGACTATTCACAACCAAAGTCTGGTATTATCTGGCAGGATTACCGCCACAAAAACCATTCATTAGACGCATGTGTACAGCATGAACTCAACCCCATACCAGATATACCGAAAGTTTACATAACTGGAACTATTTAACTGGTACCTTTTTTTTTCTTGCCTGGGTTTATGGTTTATGGTTTATGCAGTTGAGAATCAGCTTAACCAGCCTGATAAACACCGAGAGCTGCGACATGAGGATTGAGCTGGCTCAAATTAAACGGTGTGACGTTGAGCCTTGCATCCGTGAGCGCCAAAAACATGGTTCCGTTGATCGCGGGATCATGATCCCACGTCGACACGTTGGGCTGGAAAGTAAACGCCGTCTGGTTCCGCAAATTGATGTTCAACAGCCGAGAGTACGTAACGTTCAGCTGCGATACCCATGCCGCCCACCGGGGTACTCTAGCCGTGGTATTGGTTACGTAGCTGTTGTTTGGCCCGACTAGTTTCCCGGGAGTGTCCCAGTGCAGGAAAACCTGGCGGCCTGGGTAAGAGAGCGGGATAGTGCGGTTCTGGGTGATGGCTGGCGCGCAGTTGAGCGACTGATTGGTCGGGTTGGTCGCGTTTTGACAAAGTTGCGAATTGGTGATGTTTGCCGTGGAAAGAGTATTAATACCGGCCCCGGTGGTCTCGTTGAAAGCATCAGAAGCATTGATACGAGCAGGATTCGGCTGATTGAGGATACTCAGCGCTGGGAAATTTTGCCATATAAGCCGACTCTGGTTGGTAGGACAGCTCGAGATGTATGGCGCCAGCAGAGTCCATGCCCAACTCTGAGGAATTGCAGGAATGTGCCAAACGGGCATGGGGAATTGTCCACCAAGCTGGCGGAAGATGAGCTGTTGGCGAGCCTCCACTGCGACGCTCTGGAGGAGCAGCTGGGCCGCCGGTCTATTGTTCAAATGAGGTATAAATCCATAGGCACCCGCTTCTCCCACGCGCGTGAGCTTTTGGTTGAAGTCAAGGAACTCCCGAACATTGGACACGGGATAGTTGTAAGTACACTGCTTGGGTGCCTGAGCACCGAGGATGTTGGTCAGGAGCGTAGCATGTCCCACCTCCTGATCGGCCATGTACTGAATGAGGAATCTATCATCTGCGTTGAGGCCGCTGGAATTGAACTGATTAGTAGAAAAGTTCTTTAGGCCGAAGTGGAAGAGATCCCATTCGATCCATTCTTGGTAGAGAGCCAGTGCAAGCGACTGGTAGTCATAGTCACTCTGGGGTCGGCTGACGGGAGCAGATCCATTGGTTCCCAGGCCACCATTTGGAGTAAACGGCGCAGGCTCAGGGCCGTGGAGCTTGCCGTCAGCTGTGTAGTTGAAGGTTCCCGGAGCAGGAGGCGCCGACGGAATCTCTGAGGCCAAGATGGTAGAAGCCGTCAGCGCCCCGGTAGTCGATGCTGGTGGTCCTGTAAAGGGGCCGTGAGAGGTAACGTTCATAACAGATACGATTGCCGGCGTGACGGTCTCAGCGGAAGAGAAAGTAGTTGTTGGTGTTTGTAGAAACGGAACAGCCCGGATCAGCGGCAGGTTTGCAAGGGCCGCAAGCCCTGCACATTGTAGGAGCGCATTCCCGATCATTGTTTCGTTATGGCCCGGAGCAAAGACGCAGTAGGCCTTAACAACAGCAGAATGAGCTTTCTGCTCACCAATTCCCAGAACCTGCTCTCTCTTATATGCCCCCTACTCTCAGCTTGCTCAGCTCGCCCAGCTCGCCTTTTCCTCCAATTCCTCCAATTCCTCAACATGCTGAGCGTGCCGATACTCCCGGCGCTGTCACTCTCACCGCGGCTATGCCTCACATTTTGACAGGTTTGACAAGCTGTCAGGCCGAAGTCCGCTCAAGACGTGACGTATGGCATGCTAGATTCCCAGCGGTACAAGATGGGGTGACGACGCCATGGTTCGCCATGCGGTAATGCCGCCGTCATAAAGTCCTGAGATATGCGGCATCCCAATGATTTGCGTGCGTGTGGCGGAGGTGGAAAGCTTATGGCTCCATGGCTGCGGCTGACGATGAAGGCGCGGGCGCGATCTGCGGTCTTGTATCCGCGTATTTCGGCACATAGTCGAGGAGAATGGGGGAGATTCCGCGGTGCCGAGCCATGGCGCATGTAATCGTGTCGATGCACCGCCTTGGTGGTGACTTGTTGTTGTCGAATGCGAGAAAGTGCAAGAAAATGCTAGCCTTCCATTGGCCACGGTGTGGCTGACGCCGGCACATGCAGTGGCTCTAACTTGCGATTGACAGCTTGTGGCTGTCATTTGTGATGAAATTTTGACAAGCTGCCACGCGTCGGGAGGCAGTCGGATGAATATTAACGGAATGAATATTATCGGATGAATTCTAGGCTTTCTCTTTTCATGCGCAACGATTTGCAGGGTCTCGTCCTTCGCTTATGCCATGGCTGGAAAAAGATGGCCCGTGAGTGGCGCGATTTCGTCCGTTCGCTGACGATTCCAGACGTCTATCCAGTCGCCAAAAGTTCTGCTAAATAGCTGAATTCGATATTTGAAGATTAGCCTAGTGCTCCTAGATGGTGTTCTAGATGATGTTCACATCTATACTTTCTTTGTAGCTACAGCAAAAGAAGGAAGGTTTGAGGTCGTCACAATGAAGTACGGTCTTGCGAGTACATTGGCGTTCTTCGAATTTTCATTTTACACCGTTTTGTATTGAAGCTTTCATGGTGTAAGCATTCTTGATGCTTAACTAACTTTCCTTTCCCTTTCCCTTTCTTTTCCATATCAGTTAAACGCAAGACCCATCGTCAATCAGACCCAGTACGCTGATTTTCCGTACGAGGGAAGATACTTCATGTAGAGTATAATCAGCATTCAAGAAACAATCAACTTCTAGGTCATATACGCAAAATAAAACCTTCTTATTTTACATCCACCACGATAAACGATACATTTTTTACGACTCGCGCGATTAAACTGGAGGGCAGCGAACCAAAGATGACCGCAGCCCGAAAACGCACACACAGCTGAAACTATATGAACACTCGCATCAAATATATATTAGCCTTATGTTGAAGTAACCGACGCAGTAGAGCCTTTGACGATATTGGGACGGAGGTATATCCACCAGGTACGTAGGTACATGTAGCATGCGCGGCCAATCATCGTCGCCTAAAGCATGCAGCCCATTGGTGTATGCAGGATCAACCAATTCAGGCATCGGCCATATGCAGTGAAGCGCGAATCACGAAGCAAGCGGGGAGCAAGACAAGGCTGAGAGAATTTCATAACCATCAGGACCAATTCTGCCATTACACACATGTCTTTGGATGAAAAATACTTACTCTGACATTATTGCTAAGTTTTGACCACATCTGCTACATCTGCTACATCTGCCACCTCTACTGCTTCAACATCAACAGCCAAAGGGTTGATTTCTGCGTGTAATGCCTATCAGACAGCGATTCCGCAGCATTTTCTCTCGGAATGCCGATAAGCCAACGCCTGATGGCCTTTCAGATAAAGATGATTCACCAAAGTAAGACGAGCTCCCATTATCTGCCTCTATAAGTGCTGTATCAATATCTCATGTACCTGATGCAAGCTTGCCAGAGCGACTATGGGATCAAGCGTATGACGCTTTAAAGAAACATGACGGCGCACTGATCCAGGCATACGAGAAGATTCTGTCTCGTAACCTTCACAGCCAGGGATTCGACTCCCCAGTAACAGACTCTGAAAAGAACGTCATTGCGCAAGACGATACCCGCACAAGAAGAACACAGATGCGGCGGCTTATTGACGAGGGTTTAAATAACACCGCCCGAGAGGCCAAAATAAAGGAGACCATCGGCACAGCCACTCAATTTATTTTCGCCGCAAAAGATATTATCAGCTCTGCTATTCAGACTGCACCACAGGCAGCGCTTGCTTGGTCTGGCGTGTGCGTGGCGCTTGAGGTAATTAATTCCACGATAGATATTATTACCCAGCACCCCAATCATGATCAAATTTATAGACACTTTGATCTTCCCTGCTACCTCTGCTAACTTGCTTGCAGATGATTCAAAATCCAATAGCTGCCACAGAGGCCAATCGTAATGGCATCGAGTATGTGATAAAGAGGATGGATTGGTATTGGAATATATCCAATGTCGTCTTGAAAGAAAGCCCCAATGATAATGATGGTGGCCTTGCCAGCATCCGACGCGAACTTGAGACTCAGGTCGTTGATCTCTATAAAGCTCTCCTTTTGTATGAGATAAAGAGCGTTTGCCTCTACTATCGCAGCCGTGGACTTGCGCTTTTACGTGACATAGCCAGGCTCGATGACTGGAATGGCGATATACAAGCGATTCAGAACGCCGAGCGCATTTTTAACGACGGCTCAAATACCCTTGTGGATCTAAAGAAGGTCTCCAACCTCGAGCAGCTTGTCAAGTATGCAGAAATGCAGTCAACAACTCAGATGACAAGAGAAGACCAGCAGTGCATGAAAGATCTACGTCTCACAGATCCTAGCGCTGATAAGAAGCGTATTGAACAGACAAAAGGCGGTCTATTACACGACGCATATAGCTGGATCCTTGAGAATCCTGACTACCAACATTGGCGGAACAACGAGGAGAGCCGCCTGCTTTGGATAAAGGGTGATCCAGGCAAAGGCAAGACCATGTTGCTCTGTGGCATCATCAATGAGCTGGACCAGCACTCAATTCGCTCTGGCACAGCTCATGTCATCTACTTCTTTTGTCAGGCCACTGACCATCAACTCAATAACGCTGCTGCCGTCCTACGTGGTTTGATATTCATGCTTATTAACAAGCAGCCATCGCTTGTTTCACATTTACGAAAGGAGTATGACCAAGCTGGCGGAAAGCTCTTTGAAGGCTCCAACACTTGGATTGCCTTATCCGATATTCTCGCTGCTATCCTCCAAGACCCAGCGCTAAAGAGTACATGCCTGGTTGTCGACGCTCTTGATGAGTGTACATCCGATTTACAAAAGCTTTTGGACTTGATTGTAGATACGTCTTCCACTTGTTGTCGAGTAAAGTGGATTGTGTCCAGTCGAAATTGGTCCCAGATAGAAGAGCGCCTGCGACGCGCTGAGCAGAAGGCAAAGCTTAGCTTGGAGCTCAATACAGAATCTATTTCCAATGCTGTGGATATTTACATTCGAGAAAAGGTACATCGGCTGGCAAACCTGAAGGGCTATGACAAAGAAACGTGCGATGCGGTACGAACTTATCTGTCTGATAATGCAAACGACACATTCCTATGGGTGGCTTTAGTCTGCCAAAACTTGGAAAAGTATCAGCGATGGAAAGTCCTCAGACTGCTGGGAGAATACCCGCTTGGTCTTGATTCGTTATACAAACAAATGACGAATCAAGTGCTCTCTATGGACGATGCTAGCGACGTCAGCCTCTGTAAGCGAATTCTCGCCATAATGACGAGCGTGTATCGACCAATCACCCTTCGCGAGCTTGGGCGCCTCATCGATATCCCAGGGAATCTTTCAGATGATGTCGATTTTTTGGAAGAAATTGTAGCCCTCTGTGGCTCTTTTCTAACTATCCGTGACGGTACAATCTATTTCGTCCACCAGTCAGCCAAAGATCATCTCACCAGCAACGAAGAAGCAGTCTCTGCCATCTTTCCCTCGGGCAGCGAGGATACACATCTTGCCATATTTTCTCAGTCGATACAGGCAATGGAGGCAATTTTGAGAAAAAACATCTATCAGCTATCACACTTCGACAATTTTATCAGCGATGATGTTCACATACCGGACCCGGATCCATTAAGTCCTATTGCCTATTCTTGCCTTTATTGGGTATCACACCTCTGCGAAGGAAATGCAAGCAAAATCAGCACTGGTAACCAAAACAGCCTTGCAGATAACGGAGCTCTCGATGTGTTTATTCGAAAGCATCTTCTTCATTGGTTGGAGTCTTTAAGTATATTACGCCATGTATCGGACGCCGTTATCTCGATAACAAAGCTTGTCGCCTTACTTACGGTCAGTTTACACTTTGGCATTATATGATAGACGAGTCTGACAGACCCAGGCACGATCAATCCAGGGAAAACTACTCACTTTTCTTCAAGACGCGCGCAGATTTCTTCTCTACAATAGAAGGCCTATCGAAATTGCTCCTCTCCAAATATACTCAGCAGCGTTATTATTCAGTCCTATGAAAAGCTTGATACGCGAAGCTTTTCAACATGATATTCCCTCCTGGATACATAGTAGGCCCATTAACGAAGACCAGTGGAGCCCTTGCTTGCAGACTCTCGAAGGCCAACAAGGCTCAGTATGGTCCTTAATTTGTCTTGACAATAATCAGATTGCCTCAGCATCAGAGAACGGAACCATCCAGATATGGGATGTGACTACAGGCACGTGCATAAGGACGTTTGGGAATAATTGGAACCCTAACGCATTGGCCTCCTTAAAAAATGGTCGAATGGTCTCGGTATCAAATAATATGGGTGTTAAAATATGGGATCTAACCACAGGCGAATGTACCTTGAGACTTGCAAATCATGGCCCCGGTTTATATTCCATAGATATACATTCCATGATCTCCTTAACCAGCGAACGAATCGCTACAGGGTTAAAGAGCGGAAAAATCAAGATTTGGGATCTAAGCACTAGTATATGCGTCCAGACACTTGAAGGGCACGATAGATCCATACAAGCTCTGGACTCCTACGGAAATGATCGGATTATCTCGGGATCAATTGATAAGACAGTTAGAATCTGGGATATATCGACAGGCGAGTGTATCCAAACACTCAAAGGTCACACCGATATGGTGCGCTCAGTAGCCTACTCAACAGATCACCAAATCGCTTCCGCATCAGATGATTCCACGATCAAAATCTGGGATGCAGCTACGGGTGAATGTGTCCAGACGCTCAGAGGCCATGAACGTGGAGTGCAGTCAGTAGCATACTCAACAGATGGCCAGATCGCCTCGGCGTCAGGCGATAGCACGATTAAAATCTGGGATGCAGCTACAGGTGTGTGTACTAAAACGCTCAAAGGCCATACTGGTTCATCCATGTCAGTGGCTTTTTTGGACAATGGGCAACTCGCATCGAGCTCCAGGGACGAAACGATCAAAATCTGGGATTTACATGCAACTACAGACGTGGATGTGCGAAGATCTGGGTGCCATGACAAACCAATATATTCATTGGCCATGTCCGGAGACGGTCGTATTGCCTCGGGAGCGGGAGATGGCACAATACGCATATGGGATATCGCGGGTAAGTGCGTCCAGGTACTCGAAAGCCATGCCACCGGCGTTAAAGCCATCGACTTCTCAAAAGATGGCCAGTTGATTATCTCTTGCTCGTTCGACGGCGCAATTCATATTTTGAATGCAGCTACGGGCTTGTGCGTTAAAACACTTGAGACCTCTTCTAGATATTACACCCCATCAGTGATGTTCTCGCCAGGTGGTCGATATGCTGCGGCGCCAATCTTCAGAAAGATCAAAATTTGGGATGTAGCAACGTGGACATGTATCCACACGCTGGAAGTTCACGACGAACTCATTGTAGTAGCGAGATTCTCGTCAAATGATGATCATATTGCTTCAGCAACAATTGAAGGCACCATCCAACTTTGGGATACAGTAACAGGCACGTGTGTTCGAACATTCATGGCTGGTAGAATGTTTAAGCCTATTTCATTGGCTTTTTCATCAGATACCCAATACTTGGCCTCAGAGTCATCGAATGGTATCATCAAGATCTGGGATCTATCCGCTACGAGTTGTATCCTGTCGTTCGACCTTGGAAGAGCTAGGTGGCTCTCGTTCGATACGAGAACAAACTCTCGCCTCTATTGTGGTCTCGGTGCTTTCGATCTGGATCTGGATATAGCGCTGGTTTCTGACATGCCATTAGCTGAAGGCTCACCGCAAGTAAGCTTCCAAGGCTATGGTGTAAGTAGAGATGGGGATTGGATCTTAAAAGATGGTAAGTCAATGCTTTGGTTGCCTCCAGAGCATCGCACCATGAATTGCATTATCAAGGGATCGACTGTCTATCTCGGTTGCGACTCAGGACGTCTCTTGACACTGCGGTTCTCCGAATCAGGTCCAGATTCATAGCACACCAATATAACATTAGGGTGACTGCGTTACGACTAGGAAAGGGCGATAACATGCATGGTTTAGAGAAAGATTATCTGACACCTCAATTCTGTTATCTAGCACTCCAGCTATAGCGTGGGCTGCTACTGATGCTACTGATGCTACTGCTTCCAAGTGCATATAGGAGATAAATATCTTAATAGATAGACTAGCTGCTTTATTGAGCTACAGATGAGGTGTTGGATTAAGAAATCTGGGTGCTGGAAAACTTTTCCCATAGTTTATTGATGGCTGGTAAGGGAGATGAAAGGTGGAAGGGCCTTCTAGATAAATTACGAACATGCAACTAGGCGTAAGAGCGTTCATATGCATATAAGGAGTTGGTCAATATAGGTAGAAGCAGTAGAAAAAAAAGATTCTAAGCAATTGAACTATCTGTATATCATAAATGTCCTTATGCTCGTAATTTGTCTTGTGTGCTAATGATTACCCGTAGCATCAATCGCGCAAGCTATGTTCATACCTACCTAGCCAAAACCCTAGTGTTTATGAGCTAGCTCAGGCATCTTTTCAGTAGTCCAGCTATTTCGAGCCAAACAAGTTTTACATCCAACATTCAGTGAGATGTCACTTGGCATAGTGAAAGGAATATTAAGATGCTAAGGTCTACAACTTTTCATACAACACACCTAGGTACTACCTTAAGTGCATTTTAATAGTAGTATACTCATGTCATTTAGCGCAGCTTCAATAGCAAGACGTTGACGTTGACGCTTCCGTATCTTATCTTATCATCGTCAAGCTCTACATAAGAAGCAGGTGCTCCACTAAATTTTTGCTCATCGCGGGGCAGTACTTTTTTTCTCGCCCGGCGCAAGCTGCTTATCCATATCGCATTATCGAGCAGCGCCAAAAGATTAATTTTGCGACTCCAACCGCTTACAAACGTGCCGCGATCAACTCTCTCCTCCAGTCCATGAATTGCTCGAGGTGACGCTCAAGATGCCGTTGATAGACGATGGCTTCGAGGCCCTGCTGGAGCCCTTCTACAACGGCAAGAAGCTGACCGACCCAATCTCGACCAAGGAAGACAAGTTCCAACTGCTGCCGGCATTCCTCAAGGTCAAAGGTGAGGCTCTGGCTCCGTCAATCCGAGTTTCTGCATCTGAAGCTAACATATCCAAGGTCTTGTGAAGCAGTATGCACGCCCTCTATCCTTTCCGCTCGGTAGTATAACGAAAGTTTCCTCCAGCTTTCTAACTCTTCGACTACGTATAGGCACATTGACTCATACAACTTCTTCGTCGAGCACGAGATCAAAGAGATTGTTCGTGCCAACCGCACTATCCGAAGCGATGTCGACAGCAACTTTTGGCTTGAGTACGTCTGACTATGCTTCTAGATACTACCCTGTGGCTAATCCCATCTTCTAGGTTCACCGATATTCGAGTAGACCGCCCCCGTCGATTGGATTACAACGACTCGAAATCTCGAAATGAAGTCACGCCAATGGAATGCCGTCTCCGCGATATGACGTATGCCGCTCCCATATTTGTCGACATCGCATACATTCGTGACAAACAGAAGATTGTGCGAAAAAATGTGCCACTTGGACGAATGCCAGTCATGTTAAAGAGCTGCAAGTGCCGACTCAGTGGAGCGAACAACTCTGAGATGGAGAAGATGAACGAATGTCCTCTGGATCCCGGTGGCTACTTTATTGTCAATGGCACGGAAAAGGTCATTCTCATTCAAGAGCAGCTGAGCAAGAATCGAGTCATTGTCGAAGCCGACGAGAAGAACAATGTCATTTCCGCATCAGTAACCAGTTCGACCCACGAGCGAAAATCGAAAACATACGTCACTCTTAAAAAGGACAAGATTGTCCTCACTCACAATATTCTAGTCGAAGGTATCCCCATTGTCATTATCCTCAAAGCTCTGGGCGGTCTTTCGGACTACGAGATCATGCAGCTTGTGGCAGGTTCGGATGGCCGATATCAGGACGAATTTCTCGTCAACTTTGACGAAGCTGCCAAAGCTGGTATTTTCACACAGCACCAAGCTCTGGAATATATTGGATCTCGAGTCAAGATGGGTTCCCGGAGGGGCCAATTTGGTGCCCAGGCCCGCCGAAATAACGTCGAAGAAGGATTAGATGCTTTAGCCAACCTCATCATCGCGCATGTTCCTATTGAAGGCCTCGACTTTTATCCCAAGGCTATTTACGTGGCTATGATGACACGCAGAGTGCTCATGGCCTCTCAGGATAATAAATTGGTGGACGACCGAGATTTCGTTGGTAACAAGCGTCTTGAGTTGGCTGGTCAGCTGCTATCACTTCTCTTCGAAGATCTTTTCAAGAGATTCATGGGAGAGGTGAAAATGTCGATTGACAAGTTTTTGAAAAAGAACAACCGAGCCGTGCCCTTGGATGCCGTTCATATGATTAGCAATCATGCCAACAGCATTGGCCTAGGAATCAACAGAGCTATCCAGTCAGGAAACTGGAGCGTCAAGCGATTTAACATGAACAGAGCGGGTGTTACGCACGTCCTCAGTCGACTGAGCTACATCAGTGCTCTCGGTATGATGACAAGAATCAGCAGTCAGTTTGAGAAGACGCGCAAAGTGAGTGGACCTCGAGCTCTTCAGCCCTCGCAGTGGGGCATGCTGTGTCCGTCTGATACACCTGAAGGTGAAGCCTGTGGTCTGGTAAAGAACCTTGCTTTAATGACACACATCACAACCAATGTGGAAGAGGACCCCGTGAAGAGATGGATTTTTACCCTTGATGTTGGTGTTGAACCAATTCGGAATTTTTCGGGTGCTGAAATGCACCGCGAAGGCTCATACATTATTCATGTCAACGGTACCCCATTTGCACTCACCAGATACCCAAAGAGATTTACGCATAGGTTCCGCACAATGCGTCGCCGAGGCTGGATTTCGCCCTTTGTCGGTATTCATACCAATTCGCATTTCAATGCTATCCACATTGCCACGGATGAAGGCCGCATCTGTCGTCCGTATATCATTGTGAAGAACGGCAAACAGAAGCTCAAGCCCGAACACCTCCGTCTGCTTCAAATGGGCAAAGTTACGTTCGACGATTTCCTGACAAAGGGCATTGTGGAGTACTTGGATGTCAACGAAGAAAACGATGCTCTCATCACTATTTATGAAGATCAAGTGACAATGAGCACAACCCACTTGGAGATTGAACCATTCACACTCCTCGGCGCCGTTGCAGGACTTATTCCCTTCCCACACCACAACCAATCTCCCCGAAACACTTACCAATGCGCTATGGGTAAACAAGCCATTGGTGCTATTGCACACAACCAATTCAACCGAATCGATACTCTCCTCTACACACTAGTCTACCCCCAACGGCCCATGGTAATAACGAAGACAATTCAGCTTATCCATTACGATAAGCTTCCTGCCGGTCAAAATGCCACAGTCGTTGTCATGTCGTACTCTGGATATGATATTGAAGATGCCTTGGTTTTGAACAAGGCATCCATTGACAGAGGATTTGGGCGCTGCCAAGTTTTCCGTAAATATACAACTGAACTTCAGAAATATCCCAATGGCCGAAGGGAGCGTGTAGGCGACCCGGTCAATGAGGTGGAGAACGGTGTTATGCGACGAATCAAGAAGCACGAAGCTTTGGACGCCGACGGTCTAGCCATCGTTGGCCAAAGAATACACTCGGGAGAGGCAATGGTTAAGAAGGAGACCCCTCTTGATATGACAACGACGGGTATTGGTCTTGACCGTGGGCCTAGCGAATACCGCGATACCGCAGTCTCGTATCGTATCGCCGACCCTGCTTACATTGACAAGGTTATGATTTCTCAGACGGAAAAGGATACAACGGTCATCAAGGTGCAGACCAGACAGACGCGGAGACCCGAGCTTGGTGACAAGTTCTCTTCTCGTCACGGACAGAAGGGTGTCGTGGGTATCATCGTCGACCAAGAAGACATGCCGTTTGCTGATAGCGGTCTGTGTCCCGACATCATCATGAACCCTCACGGTTTCCCCTCTCGAATGACAGTTGGTAAACTGCTTGAATGTCTGACCGGCAAAGCAAGTATCGTTCACGGTCGCAAAGACTACGGCTTTGGTGATGCCTTTAGATCTCACCCCGTGCAGCAAGTAAGCGAGGTATTGGTCGACAACGGCTTCTCGTGGGAGGGCAAAGACTACTTCACGTCTGGTATTACCGGAGAGCCGCTGGAGGCATACATCTTCAACGGCCCAATCTACTACCAACGTCTGAAGCACATGGTGCAAGACAAGATGCACTCTCGTGCTCGCGGCCCCAGAGCCATTCTGACTCGACAGCCCACCGAAGGTCGATCGCGAGACGGTGGTCTTCGTCTGGGAGAAATGGAACGTGATTGTCTGATTGCCTATGGTGCTTCTCAGCTTCTGCTTGAGCGACTCATGTTGAGTTCTGACGGAACCATGATTGACATCTGCCAGCAGTGCGGTCTGTTTGGATACAAGGGCTACTGCAGCACTTGCAAAAGCACGAGGGATGTGACGAAGATGCAGATGCCGTATGCCGCCAAGCTGCTGGTACAAGAACTGATTAGTATGAATGTTGGAGTGCGGCTGCAGCTGGAGGACGAGTTCCCTCATCCTAGCTAATGTAGACGAGTGAATCGTCTTCACTGCCCTTGTTAGGAGAAAGATGTGTATACCAGACTGTAAATAATTGCATAAAATAGAATAAAATGAAGCATTTTGGATTTGGAAATCGCAGTCTATTTTGTAACACAAATGAGTAGTTTCATTTCACTGCCATATGCTACCTGCCACAATTTACTTCACTTTATCTTTTTTTACAGATTTTAGTCCTTCCATTGTCACTTCATATTCCGTCGCATTTTCAATACCCTGTCCCGAAGCAGCCACGTGCGGCGCAAACACCACTTTCATCCATCTTCTCCAAGTCTTGAGCGTCGGCGACATTGCATCAAAATCATCGTCTGCGGTGATGGGGGCAGCGACCCTCGTAGGGCGGCCGTACACAGGCCGCTTGTAGAGAGCTACGCGGCAGGATATCTGAGTGGACCAGACAAGCCCCAGGCTCGGCGTCTTGAGGGAGCTGGAGCTACGCGGGTCGTCGCCCCAGCCGGTGAACCAGCGCTGCTGGTGATCTAGCGCGAGGGCAGGAGATGTAGCTGGTTCGTCGTCTGGAAAGAATGAGAATGGCATCGACGATGAAGGCGTGCTGGAGAGGTTTGGTATGGTTGATGGAGGGGGCATGCTCCGCGAGGCTAGGGGGCTTTCTTGATGCGATGGCGACAAGTTGCCTCTCATGGCAAGGCTGCGTGGAATAGTAGAGGGGGTGGTAGATGAGGCAAACCGGTCGGCGACTTGGTTTGCTACAACGACGGCGATGTTGTGTCTTCGAGCAAGGTCGCGGAGGAGGGCACCTAGACGAGTGAGCTCAGCACTCCGGGTGGCCATGTTAGAGCCATGGGAGCCCTGACGCTCAAATTCGGCGCGAAAATTGGCAGCAACGGAATCGATGATGAGGATTCCAATCTCATGTCTTGATAGCAGGACCGGCACTTGATACTCCAAGATGTGGTCCTGAGTTTCTAGGTCAGGAGTCACAGCGCTGTGGATGCCGTCCAACGATGCTGGGGTTCCTGATTCGGCAGCCTCTCGTAAGATTGTATTTCCTTGAAGCATCTGGGCCAGACGCCTAGTTGTAAGTCCAGACTCGGTGGAAATATAAAGGGCCTGTTTGCCTAGGCCGTGGGGAGGGGGGAGTTGCACGGCTAGGCATAATGAGAGGAGGAATTGCGTCTTGCCCACGCCGCTTTCTCCGGTGAACTCTGTGATGTGGCCAACGGGCACACCGCCTCCGAGAGCTGCGTCTAGTCCATCGTCGAGGGTGCTGATGAATTCATCTGAGGTGACAGATGTAAGTGGGCGTGGCTGTTTCTCTTGCTCCTCCTGGCTCTCCTGGTTCTTTGGTTCCTTCTCATCCTCTTGTTCTTCCTGGTTCTCTGGCGGTGAGGGAGAAGATGGTGGTGGTGCGAGTGGCCTGCTGGGAGTGAGATCGTCTGATAATGAGGCTTGTATAGCAGCAAGAAACCGGCGAAGGTCAATAATTGGTAGTTGAGTTCGCTTGGCGAGATCAGTGGGGTGGGTTGTGAGAAGATCGGTAGTTGTGAGGGCGTGTCGTTCGATGGTAGGAATGAGAGCAGCAAAGGCAGAAAGGGGGAAGGAAGGGAGGATGTGGACAAGATCCGTCATTTGAACTGCTGGCTAGGTCTGCAGATACATGTAAACTTCAGAAGGAAAACTCCAGTACCAGCTCAATCACGATCTTTGGCGGCAGAGCCAGGGTGGAGGAGAGAGGGTGTAAGATGATAGGGCCAAGGCTCGTGTAGCTCAAAGCTTGTGGAGGATGCTTGACCCAACGCTGCTCTGTCCAGACTTAAGCTGTGCTATGCCATGTCATGCCGTGCATGTGGCGTTCTGAGACAGGCTGTTAGTCGCAATTTGTGTCTGTTTTTTTTTTTTTTGATACGCTAATGCGAAGGCCCTGATACAGCTGCTTGGACGGCTCGATTAACGAGATCGCTGTCGCTTCTGGGACTTGTGCGGTATGCCGAGTCTGCGTGTAAGGCTAGGCGGGGCAAGTGTATGCAAGACTTGAAGATCTCTCTTTGGGTCCATAGATTTGAATTGTCAACACCCATCAATTAGCGGCAGATGGAATATTGCCGTTCGTGTTGACGATGTAGTTCTGCTTCGTACGTCTCTCGTGATGTCTGCGTGCAGCAGCAAATCGCGACGCTGCTCCTCCAGCCTACCCTACACCCAACCTGACATTTGCTTAGTCATCCACATCGCATCGTCGATATGTATAATCGCATGCACAAAATTCTGACCAAATCTCGCCCGCGCAAATCTCTTCCCGCGCTTGCACCTGCGGATCCCCTCAACTCTGCCCAACCTCTTTTCGCACCTAGTGGGATGCCCATCCCTGCCCATTAGTTTCGCGCCATGGCAGCTCTGCCCACCGTCGATTCAGCCTCACGCGGCCGGCACAGCCTATCGAGCGTCCCAGTGGGAGAGCTGGTCGAGTCTGGCCAACCACCGCAGGGCGGCTCAGGGACTTGGCCGGGGTCTTGTTTAGCTCGCGACTGACTTGTGAGCTGCAGATGGCGGTAAAAGAAGCCAGAAAGAGAAAAAGCAAAGTTGACTACTGCGCCCTTCGAGACAGCTCGGTGGGATGGTTTGCTTCTAAAATTAAAGACTTGGCAGACTAGAGAGCTTTGCACAACAGAAGACGCAAGGAGAAAGCATGGAAAACCCTGGATTCTAATTCTGCAATGGCCCTTTTTCCTCACGTTAAAAGCGCTTCAGAGGACATGGACTGTTCCCATGCTCAACTCAAGACGATAGTCGCGACAAAGCTCTCAGACACTCAGGCTCCATCCATTTCTCCTCACTGAGTGCGGCACAACCTTGACCAGGGTCTCTCACCCGGTGCCGCCTAGTGGTTGGGCGGATTCAATGCTAGACAGGCTTTGCTGGTTGATCGTGCACATGCGTTGCCAGAAACAGCTGCATCGGGTCCCCTCTCATTTCCACAATTATTCCTCCGTCTTATTCGGCAAGCTAAAATCTTGTTCCCGATTTAGAATGGGCGTTGATAGAGCGCTGCGGGTTCCGCGCCTTTGGTGCGATTTCGATTGAGACACACGAATGTCCAAATACGTGAGGGATGCGGTCAGGCAGCAACGTCCGCAGCTCATTTGGATTCTTGAGCGAATATCCGGACGGGACTGTGAGGAATGCCGAGCCAAGGTCCTGTGAATGAGGCGATTCCACACGAGAAGATGATCCTCCATCACTCGGCAGTATTTGCGAGCGTCTCTGTGCTACTACTACCCCAAAATCCTACCACAACAACTGCTGGGTAGTACCTCATATACTAGCAGCTGGTACTACTGCTACTAATGTATGTCTTATCGCCCACTATTTCCCGCTGCGGCTACAGCTGCGGCTGTGGCAAACGTAAAGCAAGGGATCAGATCTTGTGGCTTGGACTATATGAGATGTGAAGATTGTTCTAACCAGCAACTACAACAACTCGCAGTGATGGGCAGCACAAGCGAGGTACTCACAGTCACCCTGCTCTGTCCAAATCAGCAGGTTTTAGTTGTTGCAATCATGTTTCTGTGCTCTCCTGCATGGAGCTGACAACCTTCCGCACCCCCTGTCGCTTTATCTGATGCATAGTGGTCAGTGTTCTCATGGATTCTGGGTCTATTTGCTGTTAGCGTCCTGCTGCCATTCAGCTCGTGTAAGCCACCAATCCGACGAGAGGGTCCTGCTTGCAACGAGAGGGTCTGGCCTGCAACTGTCGGCAGCTTTTCACACAACATCCATGCCTTGTCGAGCTAGCAGATGGACTAGATTGAGGCTGAATGGAGCGCGGAGTATGGCTTGGCACCGAGTTCCAGCAGAGTTGCCGGGAAGCTACCCAGTATGGTCTATCACAGTCACTGGGCTATCCTCAGTAGCTCAGGCACATTTTGTGCCATGGCCAATGCAATAAAAGTCATCTGGGAGCGAGTGCCCCCTAACGCTAGACGTTTCCCCCTTCTCCTGCTCCTTCTTGCTCTTCCAGCACACAGTTGGGCCAGCTTCAGCTCTTTGGACGTGGTGTTGTCGACCTTTCTCCCATACCAATTCCACTTGTGAAGCCCGGTCATCATGAACAAGGCAACGAGTGTTTATGCTGCCTTTGCAGCTCTGCTGGCTGCTGTTGATGCTCGCAACTTGCACCAGCCTAGAGCAACTGCTGCCTCTGGCTTCGACTTTGGTGGATTCAGCCCAAAACCAACGAGCCCTCCCAGTTTCCCCTTCCACCAGGCTCTTCAGCGCCGAGCAGCTTCATCATCCACTCCTACCGTTGTCTACGTTGCCCCCGATGCCACCTGTGGTTTTATTTCCGGTCTTGCGGGTGCGGGATACACTTGTGGTGTTGGCGCAACTTGTGTTTTCTTCACCGCGTCCCAATCGTCCCAAGCCCCAGGACATGTTGCCTGCTGCAACTCAAACGAATGCAATGCCAGAAACGTCTGTATCGATTACAATGAGTATTTCAGCCAGAGCAAATGCGACAATGGTTGTGCTGTTGATACTTTCACTCTCAAATGGTTCGTTCCGCCGATCTCATTGCTCACTCAGCCGAGCTGAATCTTTCTTTTGGTGATTTGACTAACAACGTCGTCAACAGCACAAGCACAGACGCCCCTTACTGCAATACGATTTCCTTCCCAGGAGACATCATGGACGTCTTCTGTAATAATGTGAACATCACCGGCATCCAGGCCGCGTTGACGACATACCGTGGCGAATCCTCCAGGACGTTCCGCCCTCTCACGTTGACAGACAATGAGGCTACTACTACCACTGATGATCCTACTTCGACTGGTCTCACCTCTTCTTCTAGCCCATCAGCATCTGGCACTGGTGGTGGTGGTAGCAGCGGCGACAACAACGGAAGCAGCGGTGACAACGACAATGGTAGCAAAAACAGCGGTGGCTCCAAGAGCAACACTGGAGCTATTGTTGGAGGAGTTGTCGGTGGTGTCGGTGGACTTGCTTTGATCGGCCTTGCCGTCTTCTTCTTCCTCCGCCGTAGGAACTCAGCTGCCGCCGGACACGAGCCAGTGAGCCAGAACGCTCCTCCTCCTGTCATTTATCCGGCTCCCGGGATGCAACAGAGCCCCCAGACCTACTATAACCCCGAATATGCCGCGGCTACAGGACAACAGCCATACCCCCCCAACCAGCAGTACGGCCAGCAAGGATTCTATCCCCCCCAGCCTTCGGTTTCTCCTGACCAGGCTACATCGCCCAATGGATCGCACATTGATCCTCGATACAGCATTGCTCCGTCTAGCACCAGCCCGGCTCCATCTGGTGGCTATGTAGCTCCCGTGGCCGGAGGCTTCCAGCCCCAAGAAAACGTCATTCACGAGGCCCCAGCGGCTGGTTCAGACAATCATCGCGGCCAAATGCATGAGCTTGCTTAGATAGCAGGCATCATTAGGCAGCATGGTTGATGAAAGTAGCATATGAGACAAGAAGAAGCTGAAAAAAACTGATGTGAACATCAGCAAGCAGAACATATGAGCAAGCTGGCGTTTTTGGGATTGGTTATTTGCTTTTGCATTAGTGCCGGAGTTGATTTAGAAGCTATTTTCGGTGCTTTTACTTTTCACCCTTCAGATATATTATACTTTGATTGCAGGAAGGTATTTGGTGGATTTAATGCTGTATAAAGAGCTGGTTATATATAATTTACGGGCACTGAGGGATGTGATGCCTTGCTGTCATTTCCGATTACGAATTTTCTGTCTGAGCATACTTGTACTTGTAGTATAGCAGCGATGGCTCTTGTACACATTTCTCAAAGGTTTTGATGAAAATAGCTTCAAACATGTAGATATTGCCTACTTAATGCAAACTGTTGAAAACAAGTATAAATACTCGAGTCGTTTACTTTGTAATACATGTAGTTGTGTTGATTTGATGGTTCGTCAGCCCGCTTTATAAGCTTAATGTTTGGCGGGGCGGGTACGGAGTATTCAAGCCTCATGGATCGCGATCAATTATATCCATAAACGGGTCTGTTTTACATATTCATTGTGCTGCGTGTGGATCTGGGAGTGATTTTTACATTATTTTTGTGGATGAGAGGGAGGTGTTTGTTGGAGATTGTATAGCTGATAGATGGACTTGGCAACAAGCTCTGTTGGATGTATTTGAGATTGAGATTGAGGCAGAGATTGACATGACAGTTGTGCTTTGAATCACCATATATAATGGTTTTTTTTTTCCCGCTATTTATTATAGGATATAGCATTGACTTGAAGGTCAATTGAGAATAATTATAGGCTATGAAATGGTAATGACTACTGGAGAAGAAGGAATTAACACCGATCAGATTAAAATACTTGTATAATACACCCTGATGCTTTTAACAAATGATTGTGTCATGTGGTTCAAGGTCACATATTTAGCTACAAGTGAAAACAAAATATCAGTTTAGCGAATGATATACCGCAAGCAAGTATCTAAGTGTTGCCTTTTGAGCTTACAAAGAGAGCAATGATGTTCTCGACGGCAAAATGTTGAAGAGTGCATTACATATTTAAATAAAAGGCCGCTCAAACTTGTCATTTATGAGTTGTTATTGGAAAGCTTATATCTAGTGTTGTATATGATACTGTTGACTAAAGTTGGAACTGCAACCGGGATACGCTGCTGAATGATACAGATACGGCGGCGAGAGTGTCTATACCACCGAGTGCTGTCTCGGAAGTAACATCTGGTATTGAAACGCCGTTTATAAATGATACTAGAGCAAATCAGTGAAGATGTTTCTAATACAAAAAGCTCAGGAAAGAACCGACTGTCATTGGCCAGTTGTGTGACACAGAATACCACGGAAGGCTATAAATATGCACACTATTCCTACTAAGCTATAGCAGATAGAATAAATGAGTAATCCAAGTTGGACTTTATAGCTGCAAATGATGTTTACGTCATTTATTATGGGTGATTTGAAGCTTGAGATGGGGTATACAATTGGGTCCAGTAGGCAGGCTACATGAGAAGACGTTGAGGCATCTACTTGACCTCTTTGAGGAATCTGTAGAATAACCACGAAAGAGTAATGGCGCTGCGTTGTGAGAGGCCCAAATGAAAGGAATGCAGTCTTTAAATGGAAATGCTGGCATCACCGATATACAAGCATACGCCTGTCCCCGAAAGGTGAGGGTAGGAAAGTGGAAATCTAGTTCTACGCATCATGACCTTGCTCGAGGGCGATCTGCTGTAACACCAAGAACCGTCGGGTGTAAATAGGCTCCAAATTGGCAATAGTGTGATGCTACGACTGTATGAGAGATTGATCTACAAAGCTTGTGTGTTACTCCGGCACAATATGCATTTTCTTTCTCACGTCACGTGAGAGATGTATGAAGCTCGAACTTTATACATGTATTTTGATTGTAGGTATGAATATAACGTAGCCTGTTGTTCATGGACGAAAGCAAGCAATTCACCTGAAAGGGTGGTAGCTGCTGAGGTGTAGATGATTAAGAGTATGCTCTATGCGTGCGAGATGCAAACCTTCCCCTTGTCGGATTTGATCTTTGAATCAAAATTTTGAGATCTAATTTGCTTTAGCTAGATAGCAGGTGGTACTGCTAGGCAGAGGTAGTAATGCGTGCGCGATATCCTGGACAGTTTACATGTACCTGCAAGTAGTATAATTGGAGGGGGAGATGTGTTGACATGTGAAGGTGCCTTGATATCGGACTAGCTTGGGTGAATGATTTGACAAAAGATTTGATGAATGACGAAATCTCCTTTTCCAACGTGCCTCTGGGAGTAAAGTAGTCTCGTCAGCAAATCAAAGTCGCAGGTGCATGGTGTAGCCAATATTTGGTGCATGGTCCGCTGGCCCGAGGAATGCGGGCCATTGAGCCCCAGTTCCCTGTACAAAGCACTCGGTGGTAATCAATACTAATATCTCCTGAGATCTCAGCGGCAATAACAAATCTCGGGCCGTACACGAGGCATGTATTTATGGAGCATGGAACATGGGGTTATGGAGTACAGCAGAGTATAATGAGGAGTTGAGGAGACTGCTAGCACGGCTGTAGCTGGGATTCCTCATCGGCTTATTTGACAGGTTCGAGCAGTATGGGGCTGTTGAGCTGAATTTGAATTACACGCAGTCTCTGCTAGTAACAGATGTCGATACTGAAAGAGGAAAGCAGACGGATGACTAAGACAACATGTGATTGTCTCTTTATCTTCTTCATCCTCTTGTCCGGAGAGCCTTTCCTAGCCGGTTCGGAGCATCCGCAGAACAACTTCCACACCGAGACTCGGCTTTTCCGGGAGTGTCTTGGAAGAGGAGCTTGAGAAGAGCGATTCTGCAAGCTGCAGTTCTGCTGGTACGGTACGTTGATACATATACAGGGCTCGTACTTGTCACTACTGGAGAGCAATGCGCAGAAAGGAATATGCGCGGCATGAGCATTGGCCACAGTGAAATGTACCAGCTACTGCTAGCTGCATCGCATCCTCAGGTTACATCCCGCGTAAAAACCGGCGCCCAGAGGTACAGGGAACTCTCCCACATGTTACATGCATGCATCGACACAAGCAGAGATGCCAGAACGCCTCCCCCATGCGGAGCGGCTTGGGGGCGCCATGGGGTCGCTAGCTCGTGACGTCGCTGCAGTGGAACCGCCTGCAGCCGCTCGCTTCTAGACCTTGTGCAAAACGTGCCGCTGTTAGCTCTACAGTACTGTAAGTAGTAGGCGTGCTGCCAAGTTTACAGGCACTGCATCGAATATTGAGTTCCAGCTTCTAGGGCAACACGATTGCATCCAGAAGGCTCCAGTCCCAATCCAAGGCCCTGTGACCAGTAAAAGCCCTTTTGCCCTAGACACCGAGAATTCGCCAGACGTTCAAACACCAACTGACTCAGCCTCCCATCAGTGCTCTTGCTCTTTGCCACACAAAAATATCATCGTGACAGTCTCGGGGCCATCACGAGGTACCCTTGCCTGGGCTCCCACAGCAGTCTCGACACGCAGAGAGAAGAGAGACAATCGAGGAGAAGCCGCCTCGACTCTCCAGATTGCAAATCAGCTTGTAGCGTCGACCGCTCGCTGCCAACTCCCCTTTGCAGACGCCGCGCTGCAAATCAAATCCCTCTTCTGAAACCCTCGCAACCCTCCGATCCGAACATCCCCTCGCCCGAAGCCACCACTCCAAGCCGTTTGTGGTCCACTTGACGTGACGCCAGATCGAGGCACGTTCTTGGGTCTTTGCCTCGTCGCAGCCCGCAGCCGAGCATACGTTGCTACTGCGCTTCCTCACCTTGAGGCCGGCCCCGTCGCTTTTTTCCACTTCGCCGTGGTTGCCTCTGCGCTTCTGACGCTCCCCACTTGGGACGCATCGCCAGCAGCTTCTCTCGCCTCGCACCCCCCCGTATGGCTTGTTAGCCAGTCCCAAGTCGACGTCAGGCTGTTCTCTACGGGCTCATGTGCAGAGTACTTGTAGCAGACAGGCACATGCTCCCGAATCAGCCGTTGCAACTCGTCAAATCCTCTGCGCGCGCTCGCGCTCCAGCCAGCCAACCGCCCGTCTAACCACCGCAAGGCAACCAGCGGCCTGTAAGTCTGAACGTTTCCCAGGATGCCTTTCGTGCCCAGCCGGTCATCGGGCATTACCTTGTTGTATTTTCCTTTCTTAGCTCCCACTCCAAGCCGCGAAGCAGCGTGCAAGTGTACTTGGCCGGACGCTGGAGGTGCCTGCAAAGCTCGAGGTACCGTACGTGGGAGCTGCTCCCCGTGTAAGAGGCAAGGCCCTTCTTATCGCGGCCGGGCATGCGGAGGGCCTCTTGTGCGCTTTCCCCTTTCTCCCCATTCTCCTCTCTAGCCCCGGCAAAGCCTAGCTTTTATTCACTCAGCCGGGCCACATCCTCTTGGTGGTGATTTCCGCAGATGACCCTGTCAGAGACGTTCTGTTCTTACTGGGATTCGGGTTCTCATCCCATTGCCCACCACTTGCATATACCATCATAAAGGCTCCGGCTGACTGCGGGGACTCCACCCTGTCCCCGTCCCCCGGATTCTGAGCCGTAGCCGGCGTCTACACGATTATAAACCCCCCATCTATATGCTACTTGTACCTACCTACATATACTAGTAGTATATATAGGTATATATATATATCCTTTCATCGCGCTTGGCTCTGACGCACCTTTCTCCTTTGCTGCCAATCTCCATCCCCCGGTTCTTCCGTCGGCACTGCCGTTTAGTACTCCATCGTTCGCCTTCATGAGCATCGACTTCATCTGCGTGGCTCCTCAAGTGTAATGCCCGTTTATTGCCACGACGACTGTCACTATTTCTTCCGTACCGCCCTTCGCGGACTCTCTATTAGCACTAGCATCTCACCTCTATATTGCTAAATCGACTGCAACTTACTGACGCTATGACGGCCTCAGTTCGTGTCTTCAGCTCCCCTCAGTCCATAGCCGAACGGCTTGCTGAACCCAAATCCTACTACAACACTCCTCGCAGCCTCCCAGACTTGCCAGAACCACCAACAGAATCAGAGCCAGTCCGATCTGGGGCTGCCACTGCCACTGCCACTCCCACTCCACGGCAGCCTCCACGGTTGTCTGGTGCGTACACCAGAGTACCTACGCCCACATACCACGAGCACAAGATGGAGGGCGGTATTACCTTTGCGGCCCAGGACAAGCTACCAAAGCTACCCATTCCTGAACTCGAGAGCTCAGCCATCAAGTACCT